AGGAAACGCTGATCTCTCACCAGCTTGTGGAGGGCCGAGAGCTCCTCCGGCAAGTAGCAGAGGCCCGTCCGGTTCAGCTTTAGCCATCGCAGGCTGCTCATGGACTTCACATGCTCCGGGAAGAAACCGCCCTGTCGCAGGGAGAGACGTCGGGGAGGGGGTCAGATCTGATAAACCAGCTGGAGGCCCTTCTGGCAAGTGATCAGGGGGATGTTGTGACAGTCGTAAGTGCGAGGAGCAGGGGTAAGTCACTTTTTTCAGCACCATCTTAACTTTGAGTGGTTGTTTAACAAATAGTCATAAAATGAGGATCTATTTTATTCTATTGTTTCTAGTCTATTCATTTTGATATTCTATTCTATTCTATTCTATTCTATTCTATTCTATTCTATTCTATTCTATTCTATTCTATTCTATATTCTATTCTATTCTATTCTATTCTACCCTACCCTACCCTACCCTACTCTACTGTACTCTACTGTACTCTACTGTACTCTACTCTACTCTACTCTACTCTACTCTACTCTACCCTACCCTACCCTACCCTATTCTATTTTCTATTCTATACTCCAGGGGTCTCCAATCTTGGCAACTTTTAAGATTTGTGGACTTGCAACTCCCAGAATTCCTCAGCCAACTTTGCACAAGTCTTAAAGTTGCCAAGATTGGAGACCCCTGCTATATTTTATTCTATTAATTCTTATTCCTATTCCTATTCTTCTCCTTCAAACAGGTCCTTGATGAAAGGGGTCTTTGCAACCCATCTCTTCCATGTCCATAAAATATAGGATCGCTCCACAACTTTGCGCAGATCCTCCTCTCCCCTAAGAACCGGTCACTGAACGTGCATTGAGAGGAGAAGGGAAGCATCATTTCAAGCAACCGTTTCTGTCTCAAGAAACTGACAGTCTGAAACGTTATGAAGTTTGATCCGTCATCCAGGCAAGACACTCGGAACAAGCCAGAAAGATCGGGTGTCCGAAGGCTGGCTCCTCTCCCCCTCCCTGAGTGACGTCACTATTTATAAGCGGGGTCGCACGTCACTTCAGAAGTATTCCTGACCTCGGTTACATCTCAAAGTCAACATGCCACCCCCCCCCCCAAATGTGGCTCACTGCTAATTATAATTCTAATATCAGCCCCGTAAAACTCTGCAAGAGGAAATGAGTTGGGTGATGGAGAAACAAGATACATGGAAACTTTTAGGAAGATGGAAAGGAAGCCAGGGAGGTTTAACTGTAGGAAACAGGAGGAACTTTTAGTAAATAAATTGTGCAAGATTTCATAATATTTTCTGGTTAAGTGGCAACAAGTCAGCGTGACGAGATATCTTCCATTGGGGATTGGGGATTGGGGCTATGCATTTAATGAACGATTCTTATAATTATGAAAACATGAGTTTTTCATTTTATGCAACCTTTCCCTGACCACCCCAACAATTGGTGGATATTATCGTTTGTGAATTTTGTGGAACAATTTGTGGAGATTTGCTTTCTTTAGAAAAAGCGATCATCTATTCATTCCCCCACCTTCCCCAAACGAAGGTGCTTCTGAACCGTCCCAGGTCAGACTCTGCAAAGACGGGATGGCCCAGCCCCCTCCCTCTCTCCCCCGAGGCCAGGAAACATTTGCAGCACTGAGTCACAGAAGGAGCCAAAGACCAGCTCTTAAAACCACCCAGAGTTGCCCGGAAACACAGCCTGACTTCACAGGACCTGAATGAATCAATCCTTTTCCTGTGTAACCAAAAATTAGGAACAATTGGTGGTGGGGAAACCTGGTCACCCCCTTCCCCCACAGAAAAGGCCTTTCTCTAGCTGACCTTCTGAAAAAGGAGGTGGAGCCTCCAAGGCCAGGAGCAGTGTACCGTACAGTGCCAATTAGCTGCAGTGCAGCCACCCTCCAATTTGATGCTGGGGATTTGGAGAGGCCTTGGGTTAATTCAGAGGGGTGGACTTCAGGGCAGGAGCCAAGTCCACCTCTGGGGAAGAGGGGCTGAGGTTGAGAAATCCCCCCCCCCTCTTTCTCCAGGGAGGTTTTTCAGTTCATGTATTTGAATCCCGGGGCAAAGGCAGCCCAGCCAAGGCGGGCAGGCTGGAGCAGCCGAGGGGAAAGAGGGGGGAGCTGGACGGAGGCAAACTTTGATTGGACTTTCCGGATTGCCTGCATTGTTTTTCCCGAACGGCCGCCGGGCTTTGCCCTAACCCGGGAGGGGCTGGGGGTCTCCGCCCCCTTTCAGAACCTTGGGGCGGGGGCATCCCTGGAGCCCCCTCCCCAGCCCGCCGCTCCTTGCGAGCCCCCCAAAGCCCCCGACCACGTTCCCCGGAGGCTTCCAGCGCTGGGAGAAGCGGGGCCGGGGCAGGAGGGGAGGGGGCTTGGCTCCACGCGCCTGCCCGGCTCCCTCCAGCCCAGCGCGGCCGGCCGGGGCTCCGCCAAGGGGCTGAACGCCCCCTGCCCGCCCGCCCGCCTTCCCGGGGCCCCGCTCACCTTGAAGTCGTTCCCGCTGAGATCGACGCCGCGGATGAAGGGCAGCACCCCGGTGGAGGCCATGGGCGGCGGCGGCGGCGGAAGGCAGCGGGGAAGCGCGGCTGGGGAGGCGGCGGCGGCGGCGGCGGCTCTTTCCGCGGACGGAGGGGGGCGGGGGGGAAGGGCAGGCGGGGCGGGGCCTCGCGCGGACACGCCCCCTCGTTAACCCCTTCCCTCTCCCGGGCAGCCTTCGGCGTTAGTCCTCGACTTACGACCACCACGGAGCCTTTCCTCCCCCCCCCCCCACACACACCGCCTTTCCGCTGCTAAGCCAGAGGTTTCACGAAGGGGGTGGGTGGGTTTCTCCCGTTTTATGACCTTGCTTGTCCTCGTTGTTAAGCGAATCGCTGCAGGTGGTTAGGTGAGTAGCAGCGTGGTTAAGCGAATCTGGCTTAACCCATTGAGTCGGATTGTCGCCAAAGGGGATCACGTGACATTACCCAACCACCCCCCCCCCCCCGGACGCTGCGACCGTCATAAATGCGAGTCCGTTGCCGAGCGTCTGGATTTGGATCGCCTGACCCTGGGGATGCTGCAGTGGTGATTCTTAAGTATGAAAAACGGCCATAGGTTACTTATTCGGCGCCGATGTAAGTTCGGCCGGTCACTAAACGAGCTGTTGTAAGTCGAGGACTACCTGTAGGACTTTTCAATAATTAAATGCATGCTTTAAAAAAAAAAAGGATTAAACAAAGAAGATTCTCTGGTACGCTTCTCTGGCCGGACTCGGGGAGAGAGGAGCCTCCTCGCTCAGCATCGTCTACCTGCGCACCTGCCCGAAGAATGAGCGCGCGGTCCCTTTAAGGCGGCGCAGTTCCGGGGAAGCGGAAGCTGCAGGAGATACTCCGCGTTCGGAACCGAACGTTGGGAGCGGGAGGAGCGCTGCCATTGGTTGCGCGGGCGGAGGGGCGGAGCTTTCGCTGGCCTTCTGTCTCCGGCCGCGGCCCTGCGCGCTTCGCTGCGGGCGGTTGAGGGTCGGCCAGCGGCGCTTCGGAAGGTGCGTTGGGGGGGGAAGGGGTCCCAGTGGGGGAAGGGGTCAAGGAGGAGGGGGAGGGGGGAAGGCTTTTGGAAGGGCAGGGGTCTTGGAAGGGGAGGCGGTCATGGAAGGGGCAGGGGTCTTGGAGGGGCAGGACTCTTGGAAAAGGAGGGGAAGGGTAGGGGTCTTCGAAGGGGAGAGGTCTTGGAAGGGCAGGACTCTTGGAAAAGGAGGGGAAGGGCAGGGGTCTTGGAGGGGCAGGGGTCTTGGTAGGGGAAGGGCTCTTAGAAGGGCAGGACTCTTGGAAAAGGAGGGGAAGGGCAGGGGTCTTCTCAGCTGGGGGCAAAAGCAGCCCCCTTATTGGAATGAGGAAGGGGCTGAAAGTCTGCGTGATTTTTCATCTCAAGATCTGCCTCTATTTGTTTAAACAGCCCTCCCCCACCCCCGCTGGGAAGCTGCGCACATCTGCGCGGTGGGCAATCAGTCTGCGCGGTCCTGGCCCCGTAGCCCCCAGGTAGGAGTCCTCCTGCAAGGAGCCTTTCGGGCTAAAGGAGGGCTTGGCCCACGAGGAGACGAGACCGCTGGGGGCATGGGAAAAGGCCCTTTGGTGGAGAGGAGAGGAGGGGGTTTCAGGTGCCAGGGTCTTTTGAAGGCTTTGAAAGCAGGGGGTTGCTTTCAAAGCCTTCCCCTTGGGTGTCCTCTTAATGAAGACCGGTGCCATCTCTGCAGGGTTGGCGTGCCTTGTTTGCTCTGCAAACTCTCCTTCTCTGCCTCGGCACCTGCCCTATGGAACAGCCTTCCTCCCCCCTCCCCAAAACTATAGGTCCCAAGACCTGGTTTTTCCCCAGGTATCAGAGCCAGGATGTTTAGAGAAGCCCAATTGAGGTGCTTTTCCCTTATGGTTAGTTATGCAACGTCTTGATTATTGTATTGTTATTTTTCACCTTTTGTTCAGTTTAGGGGGGGTCATATTGTGCTGTGTTTTCCTTGTGTGTTGGTTGTTAGCCAGCCAGAATTATTTCACCCCGGCAGCCATGAGCATTTTCTAAATAAACACATTTTTCCAGTAGCCACAGAGGCCTGAGTGGAATGGAATTTGCTGCCTGGCAGCCTCTCCTAAGGTCCCTAGCGTGACACCTCCTATTGTAGCTTTTGAGAAAAAGGGACGTGGGAGGGGGAAAAGTCTGTCTCCTGGCTTGCTAATAAGCAATATCACTAAATTCCGGGCTGGATCGCCCCCATTTATTTTGCATTCCGTTTTAGGATCTCTGATAATCACCACCTACCCATTTTGTACCACGAATCTAATTTCCTGGGTGATCCTGCAAATTCTGAGATTTTGCTTTCTGCTTTCCGCACAAAGCCATAATTTTGCAACAGTCTTGTAGGCACAAAGCTCTGGGACTGTCAAGAGAGGTGGGGACCAGTTTGGTATGATGGAAAGGCTGGGTTAGGGGATTAAACCTTGAGTGATATAGAGCCTACAGACTCTGTTGCTTTGCTAGCTGGGGCATTATTGATGGCGCATATTGAGATATGGAAAGAGGTCAGACCCATCCCTGGATTACTGGCCTCACCCAAGAGGTGCCAGCTTCTAGGATTTAGCCCAGAAAAGGCCATTTTTTCAGTTCCCCTCTCCCCAAAAATTTCTTTTTCAAGCGTATCCAAGCCAGGTCATAAATGGAATTAAAACAACAATAAAAGGGGGAGAATTGAAATGGCAGGGGTGTGAAACCTGGGATAGCAGCTATCCTAAAATTGCAGATTTGGTCCAAGTAAGAATTCCTTTGATCCCAGAAGAAATGGGTCAGGGGGCTAGGTTAGGCTCCCCTGTAAGAAATCAACTGTTGAAAGCATCGCAGGCACAAAATGAGCCGAGTTTGTTGGCTGCATGCAGCTTGATGAGGGCATCAGAGTTACTGGGTGGTGCATTCTGCACATGCTTAGGAGCCCTCTGCACGAGGGCCCGTGGGGTCCGGCCCATCCCTGCCTTGATTTCAGCCTGGGGAACTGGCTGGCAATGGGAAGGCTGCCGGAGCACCGGGATATTGTTACCCTGCTTCAAAAATAGCCTCCAGAAACCTGACCCCGTCTGCTCCGGAATTGAGGAATTCAGCTGTCCGTCCTTGGAGGTGCTGGGGACGGGGTGGGAGAATCCAGTCAGCTCCAGGGAAGGACGTTTCGGGGGGCATCTGGTTGGCAGCCCCTGCTGGCTTCAGGGGTGGCATCTGTCGCAAAGCGCTTTCTTTCCGGATCTGGACGAGGGAAACCACTAGGACCGAAGAGAGCATGGCGGGTTTCTATGGCTGGCAGGATCTGGGTTTTTGCGTGGTTCTGGGTCCCCATGGCGACCGTCTTATGGAGTGTTCTGACTCACAAATGCCACTTGGATTGTGGCGGGGGAGGAAGGCAGCGCTCTGGCCCCACCGAGTTGGCAGCTGGCGGAGAGACTCTTGACTGACTCTTCCCTGGGTGGGTATTTTACAGCAGGCTGGCTGGGGGGATTCTGGGAGTTGAAGCCCACCCATGTTAAGGGTTGCAAAAGATTGCTTTACAATCCAGCTCTGACCAGAGACCCCCAGGAGAGAAGCTCCTGCCAAAATACTGATGTTTTTGGCTCACTCTGAAATCATCACACATTGATATTTATTACATTGTAGTCCCTGATGACCTTGTCCAGCAATCCTTCAGCATGTAACTGATGTTGGCCAGGACAAAAAAAAAACAAACCCCTAAGCTGGCTGGAGAATTCTGGGAATTGAAGTCTATCCATCTCAAAGCTCCTGAGGTTGAGAAACACAATGATGATAGATAGAGGATAGGTAGGTGAGTAGGTAGGTAGATGAATAGATGGATAGGTAGGTGGATAGGTGAATGGATATAAAGATACCGTAAGAGAGAGAGAGAGAGAGAGAGAGAGAGATCAGCTTGGTAGCTCTAAGACGGGTGGACTTCAATTCCCAGCATGCCAGCTGGGGAATTCTGGGAGTTGAAGTCCACCCATCTTAAAGCTGCCAAGGTTGAGAAGCCCTGAGAGCCTTGGTAGTACAGGGGTTTAAGGCACCCTGTTATTAAGCTTATTAAGACCAGCTGCCTGCAATTACTGCAGGGTTCGAATCTCACCAGGCTCAAGGTTGACTCAGCCTTCCATCCTTTCTAAGGTAGGTAAAATGAGGACCCAGTTTGTGGGGGCAATAAGCTGACTTTGTATAAATATACAAAAGGATGAAGGCTATTGCTTAGCGCATTGTAAGCCGCCCTGAGTCTTCGGAGAAGGGCGGCATATAAATCAAATTAAAAAAAAAAAAAAAAGCCAGGTAGATAATTCTGTAGCTAATTCTCTTCTCTGCTTCTCTTCCAGGTCTGAAGGCTTCCAAGAATGCTCCGGTCCTCATCTAAACTTCCTGCCTTCTCTTGGTTGCGCCCATAAAGGCTCTTCCCTGGCACTAGCCAAATTGGCACTGACTTCTGAAGACGAACGATGGCCACCTATGCCGGCAAGCAGGGCAAGAGGCAGGACGAGAGCAGCCTGGGCAGCTTGGTGGACCTGGTGCTGGCCAACGCCCGGGTGGTGCTGGGGGTCAGCGGTGCGGCTGTGTTGGCCCTGGCAACGCTTGCGGTCAAGAGGGTGAGACCAACCGGCCCTTCTCTGCCACGGGAGACCCGTGTATTTTGTGTGATGACAAACGCACCTTTAGGGAGCGGGTCCTGTTTGTTGTTACCTGCCTTTTGTTCATGGCTGTTGTGAGTTGCGAATGTGTAGCAGAAGCTGTTGGGTCTTTGCTCAACCGGCCAGGCCCACGGAAGCCCTCGGCCTCCCAGCCTCGCTCCGGACGGGTTGGGGAAATTTCTATTTGTGTCCTAAATATTTCCGCTGGCCTCTTTTTGGCTGAAACTCACAATGGATTACTTACGGATTTTTAATTTGTAAAGACCCACAAATGCCATTTTTCTTTTAATGCTTCTCCTTCTGTCGTGGCTCAGTGGAGCATTAAATGTGTGGGAGTGAGGGTGGGCACGCATGTGCCTGCTGTGCGTGCATTATGTTGGAAGACCAGGGATAAACAAAACCTTCGTTCAGCTGCCAGCAAAACAGGCCAGAGTCTCGTATCTTGAAAGCAGGGGGATTAACAGAGCCCGAACTCCCCACCCCGGTGCCATCTACGTCTCTCTTTAATTTCATGACACAGGTTATGGCCTTTCCAGGCAGTCTTTTAAACGTCCCAGTTCTGGCCTCTTTAGGATCGTAAAAAGTAGGGAAAAGTACAGGCAGTCCTTGGCTTAACAGCCACAATTGAGCCCTGAATTTCTGTCGCTAAGTGAGACGTCTGTTAAGTGAGTTTTGCCCCATTTTATGACCTTTCTTGCTACAGCTGTTAAGTGAACCACAATGTTAGGTTAGTAAACCCCGTGGTTAAGCTATGTTTTCCCCATTGACTTTGCTTGTCTACATTTTGATCGGGGGACCTAAAGTTTGCCCTTTAGAAGTTATTTTGACATTGGGGTGTGTGTGCGTGCTTATTGGAGTGAGAGCAGCCAGGAAGTAACCTGATAGGCCCAGATGTGCTCAGATGTTTCCCCGATGAAACCTCTAAACCGTCTGGCTGCAGGCGAAAAATGCGCGTTCAGCCACGGGTGGGATTGCCACAAGAGAAGAGCGGCTCTTGCTAATTGGGGAAGGGTCTCTCCTTCTACAGTTCATTGACCGAGCCACCAGCCCGCCGGGCGATGACGACGACATAAAAGCCAAGCAGAAGTCCCTGGAGGAGAGCTGGCAAGAGCTAAGCCTGATCAAGGGGGTGTCCAAAGCGCGACGACAAGATCTGGAGGAGCCCCTGCTGTCCCCCGTCATAGCTGCACCTGCGCAAGGTCAGGTTGGGTGGGTAGGTGGGGGGGGAGGCGGCTGATCTTTCCAGGGTGGGGGCACTCCCTCAGGAGCCCTGCTCCAATCCTCCAGTGGTGGTGGTGGAGGGGGTATTTTTCCCAAGGTGGCCTTGTACCATTGAACCCCAAATATCTAACCCCGGAGTTGGATGGGGCCCCTGATTCCAACCCACCCGTCCCAAGTCCCTAAGAAGTGCCAAAATCCAAACGAAAGCCTCCCTGGTTAATGATTGTCCGGCTTTGGCTTGAACACAACGAAGGAAGGAGAACCCAGCAGCTCTTCGGGGCCTTGGTTCCATTCTTGAACTGCTCTCAGACGAACTAGAACAGGGGTCTCCAACCTTGGCCACTTTAAGACTTTGCTGGCTGAGGAACTCGGGGAGTTGAAGTCCACAAGTCTTAAAGTGGCCAAGTTTGGAGACCCCTGAAGTGCAACATCTTTTCGGTCAATGAACCGGACGTTGGCTTCCTGTGACTGACATCCTTTTCTCTGTCTTCCTTGCAGACTCTAAAGATCTTATCCTGTCCTCGGGGGTCTCCTTGGGGCAGTCCAAGTCCCTGCTCTGCCTCACCCTTCAGGAGAAGCTTCTCTCGTTCTACAGGGATCACATCTACGTCTCCGAGACGGAAAAGGCTGTTGGGAAGCAGCTGGCCGAAGACATCCGGGTGGAGCTGCAGACCTTCCTGAAAAACAAATCTTTGGACCTGCCCTTCGGGAATATTTCCCTGAGCGGCTACCTTTGTGACGACCTTGTTGGCCAACACCAACTAGAGGTGGTCTTCAACCTTCCCTTGGTCCTAGAAGACCATCTTTGGCACTTCATCCGTGGGGAAGAGACGCTCGTGGATAACTCGTGGTACGGGATGATCAAACGGCGTAGTCTGGAGTATTTCACACGGGGGAGTAGCCCTTGGGACAAGTTCATTGTAGGTGGGTACTTATCGTCCAATTCCATCAACGACGCCCTCCTGAAGACTTTGGTGGCCTCCGTCAACTGGCCAGTCATTGGCAGCCTGCTGGAATGCATCATCCGGCCTTCCATGGCTCCCAGGGAGCTCAAGCTGGAAGTCAGACACGAACAGGTCCTCCTGGACATAACCCTCTGCCCGATAGTGGAAACGGAAGGCAAGATTTTCCTCGCCACATTCTCTGGAGAACCTGTGGAGAACCTCTGGCAGCAGAGTTTTTACACGGCGGAGGTTTCCAAGCTGAAAGAGCTGGATGCCGGAGACGGAGGCATCCGGCAGTGTTGCCTCCTCATCTTGAAGGCCACTTTCGAAAAACACCCTTTCTGGAGCAAAATAACCGGCAGTGACTTGACACACGTTATCCTCCACCTGAGCCAAACGGAGCCGGACTGGTCAGAGGCCATGCTGGCTGTCAGGCTCCAGCAGGTCTTGGAGGAGCTGGTCCAGTACCTGGCCAAAGGTTCCCTCCCTTGCTTTTTCGACGACGGGATTGACCTCTTGAGCCATCTACTCCCAGAGGAGATTGACGAGATCGGCTGCACCTTGTACGAGGCTTTAGCCGCGCCCAATCTTGCGGATGGGTTGGGTTTGTAAAGTGGTCAGAGTCCTGGCTTTTCGGATGGAGAAGACTTGAAAGGGATCCTTTCACCCCCCCATCCCCCCAATTGCAATTCTTTTGCACCGAATGAAATGAAAGTATTAGCTCTTGAAGTAAAATGGCCCTTGATTGTAAGCCCTTTGTACTCGCTCTCTTACCGGATTCTTTTGCCATTCAGAGCGGATGTCCTCCTCCGGGGAGCGTGCCCTTTCTCCGTAGGGCAGGATTGGAGGGCTGAGGGGGCAGAGGGTAGCTGATCCCCCTTCCCTCCTCTCAGATTTCCCCATTGCTTGAATTCCGAAATCTTGTGGCTGTGCACCTCTGAACGCAATGCCCTCTCCGGGGATCTGAGTGGTGGCTGCGGAGGTCTCTCTGCTTGGCAGTGAGATGATTCTTCTGATTTTTACGAATAAATAAATCAATAAAGCAAGCAAGCAAACGAGCTCAGGTCGCTTCTGAGCACCCAGGAACCAACTTCTGATGTAAACTTGTGATGTTTTCAATACTGCTTACGTAGGGGGTTGAATACCGGCACACCCAACACACGGAGCTTCAGCCAAATATATATTTTAATTTAAAAAAATATCCACATCAGTTGAGAGAAGGCAGTAGCTGCCCTTAGCATAAGAATAGAGCATCGAGCAGGGCAGGAAGTTACAAATATTAAACTCTCTGGGTTTTGTACACACATATTTTCCTTTTGAATAAATTATGGGAGGCTGGTTATTCCAGTTTCAGGGAGGGTGGAATAGGATTCCTATGGAGGAAAAGTTTGTTCAGCTCTGAAATTACATTCTCTAAGAAAGCATCAATCCTACAGTGAGTTCCAGGTGTTTTGAGAAACGCCCTCATTTAAATTCCTGAAGAGAGAAGCTTTTTAAAATCAAACATCAGCATAGTGTGAGAGTTTAAAGCGGTTTCTCAACCGTGGCCATTTGAAGAAGGGTGGACTTCAATTCCCAGAATTCCAGGAGTTGAAGCCCACCCCTCTTCAAGTGGCCACGGTTTAGAAACCCCAGCCTCAAGTTCTTCTATGGTCCCACCTATATTTTAAAACTTAAGAGGAGGTGGAAAACTGAAGTCTGCAAGAAAGGACCCCGATCTTTCAGAAGTCCACTTGCAAGACTCTCGTTTGCAAACGGGCCTTCTTGAGTCTCCCTGGCCTGGACTTGTCCGTGGACCACACCGCTTCAGCGATTTTGCGGACACGTGGTTTTGGTGTGGCCAGGCTGGTGGCAAACGCTGCACGTCCTTGGTCTCTTCGTAGGCGCCGTCAAAGAAGAGTCGCTGTCTGATCTTTTTGCTTTGGCCCCAGGCCCTCGTTTGGCCCACTCGCCCACGGAAGGAGGAAAGGTGGAGGCAGCTGCAACGGGAGAGGAGAGGAGACAATTAGGGGAGTTTTAAGTCACCTGAGAATGGATTCTCCCCATTTGGGTATCCTCTGATGGCCAGAAGTTTAAAAGTTGTTTTCTTAACATCTTTGGATGTGATGAAACAAGCCACAGCTGGAGAGAGCTACATCCCCTCACCTCTCTCCTCCTTCAAGCTCTTGCTGGCAGTACGTTCCTGGCCTTTGGAACTGGGCAAGATCCCAAGCTAAAAGGGAAGCTCTTAAGGAAAGTTGATTTAAAGGAGCATCATGCAAACCTCGCTGTCGGGTCCAAATCCAAAGACGACACGGTGAGATCCACTCGAGTGTAACTATTTGCTGACACCCAACAGATGGAATCTTGCCAGATTAAAGCTATAACTTTCTAACCCAGAGGTCTCCACCTTTGGCAACTTTTAAGACTTGTGGACTTCAACTCCCAGAATCCCCCAGCCAGCTACAATTGGCAGGGTTAGGGTCTCTCTTAAGGCTGTGTGTGTGTGTGTGTGTGTGTCCAACCTTGGTAATTTTAACACTTGAAGACTTCAATTCCTAGAATTCCCAAGCCAGCCATGCCAAGGTTGGATACCCCTGTTCTAACCTCTTGTCTTGGCCCCCCTCTCTGCTGCCCTCCCCCAGAAAGCCATGCTGCTCCTGCCAACCCCCCCCTCCATTCCTTTGGTTGCACGTTCCACCAATCCTGCTCATGCCAATCCAAAGATGCCCACTCCTCACTCACCTGGCAACAAGCTGTCATCTGCCCACTCGAAAAAGCCACACTGCTGCTCCCTCGGCTTGGAGCAGGTGTGGAACTGGCGCCCCTTGTTGGGTCCTTCTTTCTGGACTGTCCTGGTCACCACGGGCTGGTCGCACCTGCAGAGTGGGCCTCCTCCTCCTCGGCCAGCGCTGGCTCCAGGATCAGAGCCCGCCCTCCTGGGCCCTGCTGAGCTCCTGGGCCCTGGCAGGGAAGAGCCCGGGGGCGGTGCCAGGAACCCCGATGTCCCATTCGGCCTGTTGTCGGGCTCCTGCTGGTCGGACCACAGGAAGAATCGGCAGCTGCCGGTGTTGCATTTGTAGAACTGCCTGCCTTGGTTGGGCCCTTCTTTGCGGGCGGTGAGAAGCAGGGCCTCCTCGCCACAGTTGCACATCACGGCATCGTTCCCGGCCGCATTGGCGAACGTTGGAGGAGTCCTGTGTGCTGGTGTAGGAGGGGGCATGGGAGCAAGCATGCACTGGCCACGGCTGTGGATTGTGCCGTTAAGGGAGCCGGGGGCTTCCTTGGGGAGATTCCTCGGCTGAGTTGGAGCCCTGGCTGGTCCTTGCAGGTACTTCAGGTCTAGGATCTGCCTGAGATTTTCATCGCAGCCACCGACGCAACCCACAAATTCCAGGGGCATCATGGCCGGGAGGCTGCCTCGCTTGAACTTCAATTTCAGCCTGCGGGGGAGTGAAGGGGAGCAATTAGGCCTGGACTTCTGGCACTGCAGCCCCACGGCATGGAAGCTTCTGCTCGGCCCCTGAGCCCAAATGACCCTCCCTCTGCCAATGGATTTCAATCTCAAGATCTGCCCAGGGTTATTAAGATGTGAGAAAGGAAAGTGAGGCAATGCTTTAGTAGAAATGAGGTCTGTTCAAACAGCTGCATATTCCCAGGCAATGAATAGCAATAGCAACAACACTTACTTATAGACCGCTTCACAGCCCTCTCTAAGTGGTTTACAGAGTCAGCCTCTTTTCCCCCAACAATCTGGGTCCTCATTTTACCAACCTCGGAAGGATGGAAGGCTGAGTCAACCTTGAGCCGGTCAGGATCGGACTCCTGGCAGTGGGCAGAGTCAGCCTGCAATCTTGCATTCTAACCACTGGGCCACCACGGCTCTGAAAAGGAGGCTTCCCTCCAACTGGGAGTGCTGAGGGCAGGTCTTGTGCCTTAGGCAGGATAAATCTCCCCCCACAGGTTTCCTGAATTGGAGGGCAGGGACAGAGCGAATACTCAGCCGGAATGCAAACACGCCCTGAAATTCCAAAGGGTGCAAGACTCAGCAACTCGGGACATCCCGAACGGCAGCAGAAACAGAGCTCAAGGCCTCCCCTGCACCGAGACTCACCGATGCACTGGAGGAGGCTTGCAGACGTCACAGACAGAATCATCCTTGCTGACTTCCAGCACGGAGTCGGGGAACCAGACTGAGGATTTACAAGCAGGGTAGCCCAAGCAGCTGAGATAAAAGCTAGAGAAACACAAGAGGAAACATCAGAGGAAGGAGAAGAGACGGCAGTTACTGATCAACTGCCAAAATGGGCCTGGTTGGCTTGATATTTTCCCAATTAGTGCTTTTTTTGTGTGGGTAAAGTTGCTATAAAACATCTTGTTTAAGCCAGGAGAGCTCGTGCTTCTTGCAGCATGTCAACGTACCCTCCGTTCTTCTTGGTCTTCAGGATCATGTCGGAGTTGCACTGGGGGCATTTCCTAACCGGATCGGGCATCGCTGGGTAAATGTCCTCCTCCTGAGCCACCTGGGTCATCTCCCCAAAATATTGAGCCAAGGCTTCATCCAACCTGGAAAAAAAAAATTATGAAGCGGGCATATTTCTTCCTGCCATCAGCTACGTCCAGCAAGGATTCACGGATCCTAAGTATTTGTGCAGAAAATGTGAATACATTAATATTTTAGGAGAGATTTTTGAGGAAATCCAGAAATCCAGCTTGTGGCTTTCCACGTGTTGTTGGGTTGGGTTGCCTCTCTGTAACTGTTGCTTTAAACTCTTAATACCTGTGTATTTATTTTGCTCCCCGCCCAGTTTCTTTTGGGCAGCTAAATAAATACATAAATTACCTAGTTCTTTGCTTACACCATTGATCTTTTTTTTTTTTTTTTTAATTTGATTTATATGCCGCCCTTCTCCGAAGACTCAGAGCGGCTTACAATGTGCTCAGCAATATTGATCAATCTTGATCAAGGAAGGACCTAAACACCGCCCCACACTGAGCTAGCACCACCGACTCGCTAGAAGTTCCTCTCCTGTCCACCCACTGCCAACTGAGCTGCTCCAGGCAGGGGCTACCAACTCCCCCCCCCAATTCTCCTTGACCAGAGTGGGGATTTTTCAGCCCTCACTTTTTGGCTTTGGCCACGGCAGCCACAAAGACTTGCTTGTATTTCTGGATCTGCTCTCGCAGCACGACGGACTTGTCCTTCTTCCCCTCGCAAATCAGCTTCAAGTCATTTTCGAGTTCAGCTCGAAGATCCGGTTTGGACATCTCGTAGCCCATGGAGTCGTAGCCTGGGGGGAGGGATGGGGGGGGCAGGTGGAAAGAGGAGTGGGTGGAGGAAAGGCTCAATGGGAGAGTCAAGGTTTTAGACGGGGTCAGTTCTTACCTTCCACCAGCCCCATTCCCAGGTGTCCTGGAAGGAAGCGCTGGTCTGGGGTGAGCCCCACGTACATGCGGGACTTGATGGTCTCGATGTGTTCCGCGTGGGTGGCATCCGTTCCTGAAAGCCAAGCGTTGGCATGAGTGACCCAGGTTCCTCTGCTGCTCACATTCCTTGGAGCAGAGCTTCTCCACCCAGTAACGTTTAAGATGGGAGGACTTCAACTCCCAGAATTCCACGCAACTCAAAGCTGGCAAGCTTGAGAGCACTTTCCATCAACTGACCCTAAGCCCAACCTTTGGCCTTCCAGAGATGCAGCTCTCAACGGTTCCCCGATTGCATGCTGGGAACTGTAGTCCACACTTACAAGCCGTAGTGGTGAGCTCTGGGCACCCCTGGCAATATTTACGTCATAAACCAAGGAGGTTCAGTTGCGTCCATCCTGATGCCAACAGTGACCCAATCGAGCCCAGCCTCAACATCCCTGCCCCCTGCTGTTGGCCAGGATGCCCACAATCCTTGGCCCCTTTTTCTCCGTAACGGATTGATCTGTTCTGCCACCAGAGCTTGCCTCTCAGGGAAGGCTTTGCATCAGAGAAACTCACTGCAGCAGGGAATCAAAAGCTTCTGGCAAAGAAGCTATTGGGGTATAGCAAGATGGGCAACCTACAAGTTTGATATGTAAATAAAAAATAAAATAAAACTCTGAAGATGAGTGAGAGAACGTCTCCGATCCGCAGCCGGGGCAGAACTGACCGATGCCGTGTTTCTCCATGAGGGAAATGAGGTCCGCTTCGGTGAGCAGCTGGGGGGGGCTGGTCTCCCCTTCCACCATCTCCACCGTGGTGGGTTGGAAGCAGGAGCCCTCCTCGTAGAGGGGGATAACCTAGAGAGTCAAGGTGGGGGTGGGAGGGGGTTCAAGAAAGATAAGGCAAGGAGGAAACGGGGTTACATGAGAGAACTAAGAAAGGGCAGGAGAAACGAGAAAGGTATACAGTAGACCTCGACTGGAACGGAGTCTGCCCATTAAGTTGACCCTCATCAGCTTAATATCGAGTGCTCCCACCTTGTCACTCCACCTTTCGTAAGGATAAACTTCCAGGTAATTTCTGGCCAGGACCATCAACCCGTGAGCCACGAAGCGCTCATTGGAAATCTCAATCTCCACCGTGGTTTCCTGCCCCTTAGCATCTTCGGAACAACAGGCCAGGAAGTGGCGGACAATGAACTCATATAGGCGTTGGTCGTTGCCCTTGTAGGACGCAAAGGAAAGGGTCAATGGGTGGAAAATGAAGAGATTTTTTGCAGGAGGAGAAAGACGGGGGAGAAACAGATTCGTACAGATGTTAAGATAACCCTGCTCTTCCCCACAAGCAGCAAGGAATTCGGCACACGCTCCCTAGACATTTTCCCCCTTTCAAATGAGACCTGGAGTTTGCCTGAAAAACCCCCCTGGAGGTTCTAGGAATAAATATTCCTACTTTGAACCAGAAGAAAACGTATTCCTGTCCTCTAATAAAAGGGCATTTTGTAAGGCACCGCTTTCTGCTTCATTTACTTTTCGGATTCTTCAGGGTTAACCAAACGCACCGGTTACAAACCGTTCTCTCTTCGGAAGCAAAGCTGCACCTGAGGCTCGCCAGTCAGTCTCGGGGACTCACCTGCAGATTCCCGGCGTGTTTGGTGGGATGAATGGGAGGGTGAGCCTGATCGGACTTTGTCCCCCGCCGTGGGGTTGGCCCCCCTTGGTCCAGGATCCTTTGCGCAAAGGCTCCCCAATGGGGGTCTTGGGTCTGAAGCTGCACCAGCTGGGAGAGGTTTAAGTCTTTGGGGAAAATGTTGGTCTCTGTTCGGGGGTAGCTTATATACCTTTAAAAACCAGGAAAGGAGGAAAAAAAGTTACTTTTTAGGAAGTGCTTTTTTATGAATGGCCCACACAAGACCAAATGTGTGTGTGTGTGTGAGAGAGCGAGAGAGAGAGCGAGAGAGAGCTCTTGCTCATTTGCTAGAAACAATCTCTCATATCATTTCAACTGCCAAAGTATTCTTCCTCTCTTATTTTCAAAAGGAATCTTTTTCTGTTCTTAAGACAATAGCCTCTTCTGCCCTCTGGGATGATGGGAAACGGGACTTTAATTATTTACTCTGTTACAGGGCATTCCAACTAGGAGATTGCAATACCCTTGTGGGGTATTTGAAGAGAGCTGCCCTAATGGCCCCCCTCCCCTTTCTCAGAGTAACACGGGGCTCCTTTAACCTCTGCTCTTAGGAGATGCATTTCCAGCCTCCTGCTCCTATCTGGCTTTATACAACCCATTGCTTAGTTGTGTTTCTAGCTTGCACCATCTCTAGAGATGGGGGACAAATGGGAGAGAAGAAATATTAAAATAAGTCTTCCTGGTGGGAAAAAAAAACCCACGGAACTGAAAGAGCATTATCTTATTAGCTTCATCCTACAGGGAGTTACCCACAGAAAAATAGCTGCTCTTACTACCCTTGGGTATACAGCTTCTCGGCAATCTTCATGGTTTCCTTGGCATTTATTTTCAGCTTACGGGAAGCCAATTTCTCAAGTTCCTATGGCAGAAGAAGAGGGAAAATATGCTTGATCACCGTATGGCAAAAATCTGCCTCTCTGCCCATATAAAATCAATAGGATTCCTGGAAGCAGGAACACGAGCACGCCTCTGGTGACTTTTCTCAACCCAGGAATACTCATGGACTTCCCTCAAGGACACATTTCCACAGTTAAAAGATTAACTTGGGGTGGACTTCCCACCAGAGAAGACCAAAACATTCCTCAGATTTCCAAATGTTCCAAAACATTCCAAATCCCTTCTCTGTCTCCTCTGAACGTCCAATTTGAGGCTTCCAAAAGAAGATCTACTAAGGGGATTTAGATCAAAAGCTGAGCCCAGAGCTCTTCTTATTCTGACTCTAAATGAATGTGGTTTCCTCCCCCCCCTCCCAAAAGCCTACCACAGTGTCCAGCGGAAGAGGTCTCCATTTGCTCTTGGGTTTGCTTCCAACCTCCACAACGGTGGCCCGAGGAGCCTAAGACAAAGGCGTGCAGAAGACAAGGTTCTTCAAAGCTCCTTACCAAGTGAAAAAGGAAGAAGACAGGACGGCCGGCTTCCCTACCTCCATGCACATCTGGTAGAGGACAAGGCACGCCGTGTGGTTGAAGAGGCGGTGCCTCTTCCAGCTGAAGTCCACAGTACCCTCTTCGTGGTCGTGAGTCACTGCGGGGGGAGAAGACAGATCAAGGCTCGGTCTCACCCAAGGCAACCTGTGGCAATGTTCTGCTTGCAGCTGCAGAAAGATGCCTGCGTGGGAGGGAAGGAGGTTCTTCTCAACAGCTGCTGGAATCCAAAATGGCAAGACGGAAATGGCAGGTGAACCAAGGCAGTCTTTGTGTCAACCCTGAAGATGACTGGGCTGAAGCCATTTGGAGCTTCAGTGTTGCCACTGGAGCTGAAGGATTTGGGGGGGGGGGGATTTGATATAGTTGGAACTTTGTAGCCAAAATAAAATACTCACTCGAGAACCAAGGACGTTCTCACACCTGGCCCAAGGAAGGGGGAGTGAGGCCACCAGACGGAGCCTTGATTGGACCATGTGACTGATTGTTTGGGGTTGAGGAAAAAACTTTTACTTTTAATTAGGTGAAAACTGTGGGAACCTTCAGAGTCGGTTTTCACCAGATCTGTGCCAATATGATGTATCCAATAAAGCTATTCTTTGAGGGATTCGCCTGCCTCGGAGTTTTGCTTGCTATGGGTCTATTACTTGGAACCCTGACGCTCTGCACTTTAAGTAGACAATGCAATTTGACGACAAAAGCCAAAGTCGTCCCAATTCCAGATAAAACGAGAGAAGTGAGACTGCAGTGGTACGGATGTGTGGGCAGAGCTGGCATGGAATCCATCGCGAGACGGGCACCAGCACTCAGCCCAGAGGGCAGCTCCAAGGATGGCCGAAAAAGTGATGGATGGACTGCCTGCATGAAGACACGCAAGCCGTAGCAGACCAGACCAAAGTGGTGTGGGAAACGCAAAACTGGGGACCCCGCGATATGGCGGGAAGAACGCAAAGAAGAAGGAATGGGATTTGAAAAGCAAATTCCCACTATAGGTTTCTCAGTCCAGGTGTTTCCCTGCTTGGGCTTCACTTTCTGAACCCGAACCTTTAATTCTGTAGAACGTTTCTTGGACGAAGGCCTGGATGGCTTTGAATCTTTCCACCACGAAGCCCAGGGTGGGGAACTGGCAACTCCCGTAGCTGATGAGCTGTTCCGCTAAGACCTCCGGGAAGATCTTCTGAAGCCTCAGGGTCTGGAACCGGGTAAAGGCAGCACCTGGTCAAGGAAGCAGAAAATCCAGGCCCAACATGAAAAGGAAACCACAACTCCCCTATTGGAAGAGGGGAGGAGTTACTGGACAGGCCCAGCAGAGTTGACAGCAGCTCTTCTGAAAAGCTGGTGACGTCACGGTTCCAAGGAAAAATAAGAAGTCACTTTAACCACCAGCCATCAGAAAGTAAATCAAAATGAAGTGTTTGTTTTTAGGAACACCATCCCACAAAGATTAAGCTATTTAGTTAGCTCTGACAACCAACCATGTTTGGTTACATCGTTCTCCTCCGTATCTCAAGCCACCATTTGGGTCTACGGTCTGACTGCTGTGTTTTCTCTCTTACCTATTCTGAGATCCAGCTCTTGCCTCACCTCCACAGCATCGCTGACGTTCAGATCTGGCTGGGTGAGGTTCTCGCAAGCGGATCTGATAGCCCGGGGTGTGATCTCCGAGAAGCGGGCTCGGAACACCTGGAGGTTTGGCTTCACTGTCCAAAGAAAGGTTCAAGGCACATGGAGTCACGGGAAGCAAAGCAAAAACATTGTGGAGAAAGAAACTCGTCGTGATTCGGAAGATTTTCTTAATTTCACTCAACCGATAAAAATTCCTGGCCAAAATTTCTGTCCCTGAGGATGTGCGCATGTTGAAAGTTCAGCCCTTCACCCTTTCTCCACACACACCTGCTTTGCACACGTGAATGATTTCAAAGCCGATGTTCTCCCCTTCGCGATCACAATCGGTCCAGATCACCAGGGCCTGGCACGGCTGAACCTCTCGCTCAAGGGTGCGCTGGAATTGGTAATAGGATATAGCAACATGAAACAACGGAGGAGAAAGAACGGAGATAGGCCAACGATATTTTATATTATGTCCGTGGCTGGACACAAGGCACATTCTTCTTCATCAGTCAGAGATTGCAGCCACGGAAAAGGAGGAAGGATCCCTGGCCTCTTATTAAAAGAGGCGGCTGCAGGCAGCACAAACCTTAATGTCCATGTAGTTTTCAGGGCAGAATTTCTCAATTTCAGCATCAAAAAGGACCAGAGGGTTACAGCTATGCCTGTTGGAAGAGCATCAGAGAAAGGCATACAGGAAACAGGGAACATTTAAAGCAATACTAGCTAGATTCTACAAACATCTATGCCTGCAATGATAATTATCTTGTTCAAAATCTGATTATATAATTGCAGAAAGTTAATAGTCCTTCCTGATCTGTTGCTACGTACCATTTCCGAAATGGTGCCTTAAAATCATGAGCCAGCAAATGTCCGGACACAGATGTCATAATCAAAGTTACATTCTGCATAAAACAAAGAAAGATAAATTATTCTTGGCCATGCTAAGTGTTGCTTTGCAAAGATGGATTTGTGTCTAGACAGTCTAAACTTTTTTTTAAATCCATTTAAACTCATTATTAAGAATACTTGTATCATTAGATTTTTTAGTTATATAACTAGCAATAAAGTAAAAGTCATTGATAACATCACTGTTATATCCACAGTTACGGATGTAATAGTAAGAGGCACAGAGAATTGTGATGGACTGTTTGACACAAACCTGGTTAAACAAATGATACTGGAATTCATAGATCTTGTTGAACTTGGACATTCCTTCCCTCTGGAAAGAAAAGCAAACAATTCTAATCCACAAAAAAGCAGTTTATCCAAATAAACAAATAACCAATACGATACTCAGATAAATAGCCTGAGAAATCTCTCAGGATGGTTATGACTATCAAGCAGTAAGCCATGATATATATAGGATGTAACTTTGCTACTATTGGCTCTTCGTAGAATTTGACTAGACCAAATTCTGCTTGAACCTTTTACTTCTTTCTGCAGTCTCAAATAGAGGCATTATTCCCCCACCCCCACCCCCAAATCCCAGGGTGTTGTTTTTCAATCCTGGGTTGAATATTCAGATCACAAAAAAGCAATTATAAATCGCTCCATTACTCTTACAATAGGCCCAGATTAGTCTCTTGGCGGTCATTACCCCCAATTTAGGAACCAATGGACTAGAGATAAAAGAGTTTTCCAGCCCATCAACATGGACAGAAATAAATGCCTCGGATCATGACAGATTCTCTGTACTTTAACAGCTGTTCTCTGAGAACTTATGGTAGAAATGGTGTTTGAATTTCCCATGCCTCTGCCAGAATGATCTTCGGCTCATTTTATAAATTGGAATTCAGATGAGCAAGTTGGATATTGATTTTAGCTTGAAATGAATCGGCTCAGGTCATCCCAAACAGGCTGTATCTTCCCTTTGACCAGGGGAAATCTCGCAATCAGGGTCAGCTTCCCTGCTCTCCTACCCTCCTCATCCTGCTGTTCGAAAGGATGTCTGCAATCCCACGGGCTGCATCGTTTTTCTCTGCCACACAGAGAACCTTCTGCAGGTTGCGAAGCGCCATGGTCTTCGCCGTCGGCCTAAAGCAAAGGTTGGAGGAACAGGAGAAGAACCTCACGGTTCCCCAAGCCAATCCTCTGGCCTGGCCAAACATCCTAAAACCCAGCCGGCCCAGATCCAGCCGGCCGGCCCATCGTGGCCCCTCGGCAGCTCCTTTTCCAGGCAATAAAGGTCTGTCGGCAAGGGAGGAGAACTCTGGTCCGGTGCGAAAGAGAGTGGATCCCTTCTTGGGGCTGGTCCCCCAAGTTTCCACAGGTCAGAGGCGGATGGGGAGACCCCAAATGTTCTCTGAAGCGGAAGCTCTGAACCCAAGGGCAGCAGGCGGGGTGGTGGTGGTGGTGCACCTTCCCTCAGGCAACCCCAGGCTATTTGGGGGGGGGAGTCACAGGGGGCTTAGGCGTCGGTCTCTCCCCCAGGGCTGGTGGGGTAGCAGCTTCTCTCCTACTTGGCCCACAATGGGAGAGACCCTCCCCAGATCCCCATCAGGCACCCACCAGGGCCAGGTTGACCTCAGGCCCTTCTGCCCACCCCCCTGTCTGCTATGTGGATCTCCCCCTCCCCACTTTTCATCCCCCCAAGATCTGATGCCCCAAGCCCCCTCCTCTGCGCCCCCTTGGCCTGCAAGGCAGAGCTGCCCCTCTCAAGCCTGGGAGACCCTCCCCCAGCAAGCCCCCTCCCCCCACTTGCTCTCCCCCACCTGGGGGGGCCTGCTTGACCTGCTGCCCCTCCCCGAACTCCCTTTCCCTTTCCCGCTTCAGCGCCCGGCCGTATTTCGCGCCCAGCGCCGTCGTAAGCGCCCTCGGCAAAGCGGATTGGCGGAGAGGCGAAGGGGGCGGGGTTTCGCTCGCTTTACGGCCCTGCCGTGAAAGGACGGCGATTGCGCAACTTCGGGGACTCCCTTTGCGAAAGGGGGAAGCAGCCGCTGGCAGTAAATAAAGGGTCGCTGCCGCTCAGCCCTGGAGCCCACCTCTCAGGGTTGATGTTCTGGGGAGAACAGGAGGGAGAAGTTTTATCTAAAAATCGTCTCACCAATCACCATTCTCATGGTAATAATCATATGAAAGTCAGAACTACAACACCCAGCGTGCCTTTCGGCCGGGCCGCTTCAACGCTCCCTTCTTTCGACGGGCCTTTCTTAGCTCCGCCCATAGTCTTCCACAAATCTTTCCCGTTAATGTCAATCAACCCAGTCAGCCTATCAATCGCAGCAGGCGGCAATCAACCCTCCCTCCGCCTTCGGCGCGACTGCTTCCGGGGCCAAGGTCCCCAGCCCACGGGTCATGTGACTCCAAGATGGCCGCCCGGCGGCGGCTGGGAGGCTGAGACAGCGGCGGTTCCGGCGGCCCAGGCCGCGATCCCCGTTTCCCGGCCAGGATGATCGGCGCGCCCGACGTGGTGGCCTTCGCCAAGGAGGAGGCGGCGGCCGAGGAGGCGGCGGCGGCGGCGGCGCGCGAGCCGGGCCTGCCCGAGGAGTACTCGGTGCCGCTGCTGCCCGCGCCAGGCCGCGGCGCCCACCCGTGGTCCCGTCGAGGCGGCTTGGGGGGCGGCTCGGGGGCTTCTCCGCCGCCGTTCCCGCGCGACTTCCTGCTGGTGGCCGAGTTCTCGGAGCAGGTGGGCCCGCAGCCGCTGCTGACGGTGCCGGCCTGGGAGGCTCCGGGCGGCTTCGACCTGAACTACTTCGCGCTGCGCATCATGTCGGTGGACTACCAGGCCTGCGCGGCGGGGGCGGCCCCGGGAGGCCCCTACCCGCGCCTGCGCTTCGCCCGGGACTCACAGGTGGTGCTGGGCGACTCCAAGGCGGGCGCCTTCGCCTACGTGCACCACCTGACGCTCTACGACCTGGAGGCTCGTGGCTTCGTGCGGCCCTTCTGCCTGGCCTACGTGTCGGCCGACGAGCGCAAGGTCATGCGCCTCTTCCCAGAGCTCGCGGCCCAGTTCTCGGGCGCCTCCGAGGGCCTGAAGGACGGCAACCGCAGGGCCTTTGCCCGCGAGCTGGAGAAGAAGCTGCACGACCTGGACTACACGCGGGCTGTGCTGCACCGCGAGACCGAGCTGCAGAAGCGCAGCCTGGCCAAAGGGTGTTACACCAGCCGGGCCATCGAGAAGGCCAATGAGTTGGCCAGTGTGGAAAAGGCCATCATCGAGCACCGCGACCTGCTCCGGCAGATCCAATCCTATCCGCCCGGTAGGCGGAAGCAGGCCAGCGGGCCTCCCTGCGAGCCAACCGGAGAGGACACCCAGCCGGAGTTACTTGTTGATGATACGTTGCCACCACCCTGTGCCCAGGGCTCCTCCTACACCCCGAAACTCATCCCAGCCAAGTCCAGCAAATGCTTTGACAAGAAGCTGAAAACCCTCCAGGAACTCTGCGAGGAGCAGTCCTTCAGCCAGACCCTCGACCGGTTGCACCGGATCGAGAAGATGTTCCGGGGTGATGTCTGCTACCTCCTGATCAACCGCATCAGCAGAGCCCTCCTGAAGCAGCAGGCGTTCACTGGCTTCCTTTTCGAAGACGTGTCTCTTCTGGATGAAGAGCAGCAGGAAAAGCCCTTTGAAGTCAGTCTGGGTCAGAACCTGGACCCTCCCAACATGGCTTGTTTGGAAAGCTGCCCGAGTCCTGAGATACTAGTCGATCTTGCCTCTTACAAATCCAGTGTGGAGTCTGTGCCGATTAAGATGGATCCAGAGGTTGAAGACGGCCAAGACCCAGAGGTCTCCCATCCTGTCCCTTATGACAACGTCGAACTTCTAGATGTCGACCTGAAAGGGAGCGTCAGCAGCGGCGAAAGCATTGAAGTTTTGGGAACGGAGAAATCGGCCACAGCTTCTGTCCACTCTGAAAGTCAGTCTGGCTTGCTACAAGCCCCCCCCAGCCCCCCTGTGGTGAGGGACAAAGTCACCAGCAACAGGACCATAAGCGGGGACAGCATCGAAGTCCTCAGTACCTGCCCCTCGGAGGCCCTGATCCCAGACGATTTTAAAGCAAGCTACCCAAGTGCCATTAACGAAGATCCTTATGGTGGCGAAGAAGAGGAAGGTTTCCTGTTCAACCGCGAGTTAAATCTGGACAGCACCGAAGAGGAGGTGGAAGGCAGCCCTGCTCCTGAAGCCCCTCCGGGGGATGCTTCTTGCTGCACTGGCAAAGAGAGCCCCAACTTCCTTGAGGGTCAAGCCAATGTGCCTCCCAGACACGGTGATGACGATGGCGTGGTCAGCATACAGCCATACAGGCCAGGTGACGCAGGGTTTCAGGTGAACTTCACAGACTGCTCCCACGATGGGGTCCTGGGAGGCCTCCTTGCCTATGAACTTGATCCCCATTACCTCTGTGACGGCCGAGAAACCAGTAAAATGAACCTGGATAAGTGCTCGGATTCCACGAGTTACATGAGCAGCGCGGCGTCCACCAACTCCGACAGAACCCCATCCCCCGCTGCTCTCACAGGAGAAAAGTCCAAGAAGGCCGGGCAGAGCGCCTTGCGCTTCATCCGGCAGTACCCCTTCGCCCACCCCGCTATCTACTCTCTGCTGAGCGGGAGGACCCTGGTGGTGCTGGGAGAAGACAAGGCCACCGTGGAGAAGCTCATCACCGCCCTCTCCATTTTTGTCCCCAATTCCGGCGCGTACGCCAAGCCTGTGAAGCACTGGGCCACCTCGCCTTTGCAGATCACGGACTTTCAGAAGTGGAAGCTGGTGGGGCTCCAGAGGTAACATTTCAGGCCCTTGGACCTTCTCCCCCGAGGGGGTTAGTTGCAGAAATGTCCTGTCCTGGCACATTTCCTCACCATATCACATCCTGGAGAGAATTGCCTGCTCCTCCTGTCTCTGACCTCGCCATGTTGAGTGGCGAGATCTGAAATGGGTCTCTGCTGGTATTGGCCGGCTGACTGGACTGGGCAGTGAGGTGTAGAAGTAGAAGAGTGTTGTGTATTGGCATGTTTATCCTCCTCATATGTAAATATCCTGTTCAAATATGGTTTGAGGGATGTTCTTTACCCAACACTTGGTGGTCATAAGGAAGGTGAATGGAAAGAAAGCAGTCTGGTGACCTATATGGAGAAATAAGGCTAGACTGGAGCAAAGTGGCTAACCTGTTAGTTTATTTGGGTTCTGTAGCTGCCCATCTCAGCAAACAACTCTGGCAGATGTGCCTGGCAGAACCGGGCAGTGCTCGGCTTCTTTTCTCCTGCCAACCAGTTGATCAGCTGACTGAAAAGAAAAGGTTGCTGATTTCCTGTGTCTGGGGAAGCAGTAAAGCTGAGCCACAGCCTAAGGAGAGAAAGAGGAACTTGCAATTTTGCTAAAAACCACCAGTAACTTCCTCAAGTTTCAGTGGTTGGTGGACGTGGCCAGGCTGAGATTTGAACAGCCACAATCATAACTTCATTTACGTGTTCAATTGGTTTGTCCGCCCCTGTTAAGTAAGCAAACGAGACAATTGTGCAGATGTGGTCCCCGTTTCCTTCATTCTGTTCTAACAAAGGCTGGGATATGGGGAAGGGGTTCAGGTAAACACAGATAAGGGAAATAACTGTTAAAAGGCAATAAGGTATCCTATTCTTTAGCTAAGATCTCCTGAGAAAGTGCATTAGAGAAGGGCGAAGGGGCTTATAAAATCCTTTTCAACAGTGGGCATTGAGAGAGTTTAATGTTGGCTCCTCCTCTTAAGACGCTTCACTCTGTCTCAAGGACACCTTTTGCCTTCCAACCTCCCCATTTGCACCTGTTCCTTCTCTTTCCAGGTCAACCTCTCCAGGTGGCCCCAACATGATGCATTCTCTCAGCCGATACAGCCGATACATCAGCGTGCTGGACGCCGACCACAAGACCCTCCGCTGTCCGCAGTACCGAGGGCACCTGATCCTCCGGCTGGCCGACCACCGCACCCAGATCAAGCGGGGGAGCACCTACCACGTGCACGTCCAGACCCTCCTCACCCAGCTCTGCTCCAAGGCCTTCCTCTACGCTTTCTGCCATCACCTGCACCTCCCCATCCGAGAGGGAGAGACGGAGGACTCTGTCACTGTGCGGCGGGAGAACTTCTTGAAAGTCCAGCTGGGTCTGGCAAACGAGGACCGCAGAGTGGTCCAGTATCTGGCCGAGCTTCTGAAATTGCAGTACATTCAGGATCCCATCCGCGGGGTTAGCCCCGTGCTCAGGTTCGATTACCTGCCCAGCTCTTTGTACAAAATTTAGGCGTCATCCATAGCCTGCCCTGCCAATGTCCCTCCTCATCCCACATTCGTCTATGGCCATTAACAGGCTTCCACCGTTCCAGGACTGTCCAGTGGGAATCCTGAGAGCGATAGAGATTACAGTGAGACTCCAGGCATTGGGCACCACTGCCAGGTTGCTCTTAAGAGGCAGAGGGGGCATGAATGTGGCAGGCAATCATGGAGTGGAGGAAGCTGGGATACCGAATTTGTGAGCAAGTTCTTCCTGTCGGGTCTTTTGCAGATTGGTGGGATATCTCCAGTGCATCTCCTTGCATGTGGGATAATACTCCAACTAACGTGAATTATTATTTGGGCAATTGTCTGTCACATTTGAAATGAGAGGCCTTGTTGGTTTTACCTCACTTTTTCGAGCAGAGGGCAGTGTTCGGAAACAGAATATAAAGTTTCTGATTCGCCGAGGAGGCGAAATCTGCATGGTGAGATGGGTGTGTGTGCAATCTGATTCAAAAGGGAAATTCACTGTTGTGTTGTAGCTCTGAAGACTGGTGAGGTGGTCAGCTGTTGAGGATGTGAATATGGGTGGCCCTTGGGCAACCACCTTACGTGGCTTGGTTTTGGGACAGGACAGAGCCTAAGAGTTGCTCAGACTGTCAGCTACATTGCGTAGACCCTCTTGTGACATTGAAACACTGCACTGTTTCCCATAGTCTGACACCCAAGAGTTTTGAACCCCAAATTGGCTGGGTAAAGTTCCAGTGACCTGGCCAACATAGGCATGGATGCACCCAGGCCCTCCAAAGATAACAATTCCTTTGTTTAGATAGTGGCTTAGATCTTGGCTAATAAAGGAAGCTGCTGCTCAAGCAGACCTTAGTTTGGTGGCTAAGAACATTGTAGATTGAAATCTTTGTTGTTTGCCCCTGAAAATATTCCAACTCATGCTGAAAACATGCCAGTTTTCCCTTCTGCGAAAGGTCAGGATTGCACAAGACCAAGCTTGAGAAAGCTTTTTGGAGTGCACTTCGTTTACTCATTTGGAAAAGATTCCCAACACATCGATTTCTTGTTCCTCCCAGTGAAATGTTTGGAGAGGGTTGGTTGTGTTACCAGTTTCATTGATGTCATCCATACTGGCACAGCAACAAAGAATTGTTGCATTTCAACAAGACCAGGGAGCAGATTTGGAAATAAAATGTTCCATTTCTGGGCATATTTAAGAAACCCTAAAACTTGTTTGCCTGCAATCCCCAAGAGTTGGCTGGAAAGTGTCGTCTAGTTCTTTAGGCACCAGAGTGTTTTCAGAGGGCTTCTTTGATTTGGGGCATATTTCTCAATCTTGGCCACTATCAGAGGTGTGGATTGCTGGCTGGGGGATTCTGGGAGTTGAAGTTCACACCTCTGATAATAGCCAAGGTTGAGGAACACTGCTTTAGGAGTACAGCTTGGTAGCCGGGTGGCTCAGCCCTTCCAGGGCCATCGTGCCTTTTGAGAGCAATCTGGAGTTGCAATGTAGTCGTGACTATACATAGACCTCGCTTGAGTTGATCTGGTGCTGGCTGGCCTGCCCTTGTAGTATCTGTAGACGTAGCACAGGCCTTCCAGGGTTCCCTGGAGAGAAAAGGCTCCCCCCCCCTGGAATCTTTCCTCTTATTGCCAATTCCTGCACCCTTTTTGTCACTCCCTGCTAACACCGTCACTTTCCAAGCAGCTTCTCTCATCTCTGCATGTTTGGTTTTCTGTTTGGTCCCAGAGCTTTTGCATAGGCGGCGCTTAGGAGACAATAAAAACTGGGATCCTTCAGAGAAATCCAGGCAGCCTTCACGCATTTGTGCTATTAAGTCACATCCTGAGCAAGAACTGGATGAAATAATATTCAACCAAATGACTGTGACTTGAAAAAAAAAAGTGTATATTTAAAAAAGGAAATTATTTATTTGGGCGCAAATATTTTTTGAGATACAAATATATATATATTGTTGTATTTTTTAAAGCTTATATAACCCATGCACTCGTGGTAAAATTCTTAATTTTATTGTGCTTAGTAAAAACTGTCCTGGCGGTCTGTTTGGGCTTGTGCATCTAGTACAGTGAAGGCAACTGTCGGTGGTAGGTGGGGAAAGAAATTGCAAATTGGGAGAAATTGGTGTCAAATATGTTGCTCAGCTTGTCATTAAAAGCGCCCCTTTCCTTGAACGACACATCTGCTTTTTGGGAGCTGGAAGTACAAACCGTGGGACGAGAGAAAATTACAATCCCCGCATAGTTTAGCTTCCTGCTTCCCTCCCTGGCCAACCACCAGGTTTCCTGGAAAGGCTGTGAGGTGAACGGAAGGAAGGCCATCTCCTGCTTAAGCCTACAAATTGTGGCAATAAATTCTGTAGCTTAACTGTAAAACAGTTTGGAGAACAACCCCCCCCCCCCCACCCTCCTCTCTTCAAAAGATCTCTAGAAGAGCTGCTTCTCCTGTTGTATCAATGTGTTTGTTTATTTTTTCTGGCAAGAGGCCTGGATAGCATCTTCTGCTTGAAAACCTTTTACACAATTGTGCTATTGCTTCTTTTTCCCACGAGGAGCACAAGGTGGAATAATCCCATCGGGAAGGAGTCCGAAAACTTTCCCAGGAGTATCTAAAAAAGGGTTAAATCATGGCAACTGGACCAAAGGTGATTAAAACCGTTTTGTTTCTCATCCAGGTGACTCCTTCAGTCAGAATGAAAACTTTGGGTAGGCAGAGAGACGTTGGAATGGCCCAACTCTTGCCATACAGGCTGCAGGGGGTTTCTGAAGAAGTTCCTTGGAGTTTTAATAAACTTTGGTCCAGTTGCCACGATTTAAGCCTTTGAGGTACTTTTGGCCTGGATGGTTGAGTCTTCATTTACACATTTTCAAGGAGTCTTGCAGAATTACTTTCCAAGGAGCCATTGAGACTAAACGTGGAGCCGTCCCTCAAAACAGCCTCACTGCCCCAGATACAACTCAGTCAGCTGGACTATTAACCTTCCCTCTCTCCCATTTAAAATTGATTTTTTTTTCTTTCCTAAGGGGTGAACCTCCTGTTCATTGACCTGGGATTTCACTCCCCAAGAAAGGAAGGCAACACTGGCGGGGGACAGGGGACACGGCACCGGCCTGTCATCCATCGTTCCAGAGAGGGTGGGTGCTAAAAATCGCCCTCCTTCCATTTCCTTGCCAGCTCCGGCGCATTTTTCTTTTTAAAGAGGGGGAGGAACAGAATTTGGTTTAAAAGCTGATTATAAAAGCAGAGGCCAAGCCAAGGGAAACCAAAGGCGGGTATTGGGGGGAGGGAGGGTCCTGTTGCAAGAGGGCAGCTGGGATGGGTATATGGGGGGGGGCTGCCATTCCAGATGTGGCTCCTTTACAACACAGGCAAGCCCGGAAGCGGGAAGGAATCGGCGAAGGTCTCCACTTCCTGCTCGATGGACCTCAGCAGCCCTCGATACTTCTGCTCCGTCACCAACTTCTCCTTGAACTCTTTCAGGGTGGCTTTGGGGCTCATGTCGCTCTGGACCTGCAAGGTGAGCTCTATACCTGTATGGGGGAAGAGAGACACCTGCCTGAGCCGAAGCACCTCACTGAAACAAGACTGAGGAATAGGGTAAATTTGGAAGGTTGCTTAATCCCACCCTGTGGAATGATGAAATCCTCTAGGAGGCAAGAAACGAGGGGTGGACTTTGCCTCTATGATTCCAGAGAAGGGGAGCCCCCCCCCCCCACTTCTCAAAGGAGTCTGTTCTAGGCTTAAGAATATCTTGCTTTGAAGGTGTAGAAAATTCTTCTTTTCTGCAGCTGAAGGCTTGACACTTGCCCATGTCTTGCTCTGCAGACCACAACCAGGGAGCTCTCCCCTCCCCTCCTCCAAGTTCTCACCCGGTTCCCTTAATGTCGGGCTCTCCAACCTTGGCAATTTTAAGGCTTGCAGACTTCCAGAATTCCCCAGCCACCACATGCTGGGATTTGAAGTCCACAAGTCTTAAAGTTGCCAAGATTAGAGAGCTCTGCCTTAAAGCACTTCACTATCCCCCCTCCTCATCTTCCCAGGATTCACACAATAACCGCTTGGCCTAAGAAAGGGGGGGGGAGGAAGAGGGCGGACAAGCAGGTACAATGACCACCCTACCTTTGTGAATGAAGTGAGCTACTTTTTTGAAGTCTTCTTCCAGGAGTCCTCTGGAGGTGAGAGCCGGGGTCCCCAATCTCAGCCCACTGGGGCGCAAAGCACTTTTGTCTCCTACGAGGGGGGGGGGGGGGGGGGGAAATAGGGATTAAATTGCAGGAAAGGAAACTGCCAGGTGGGGATTTAAGTGGACAGCCATTCCTGCAAGCAGCTGTGCTCAGTGACTGCTGTTCAGTCTCGAAGGCCTACATTAAACCAACTTTAATGTAAGTGTTGCTGTGTTCCGACTCCCCTTGGGACTATTGGTGTGGGGATGCAAGATCTTGGCTTTCCGATTTCGGTCTCTCCCAGCCAACGCAGCCCTCAAAGGATGGGAGCTGGGACTGCCAGAATTGAGCTTCCTTGACCGCAAGGAGGCTTAGTGTTGGGGTCACTATTAGCCACTGCATTGTTTTCCCTGGGTAAGAAGTTCCAAGTGACACCAACCAACCAACCACCGTCCTTCTAAACCCCAACGTTAGCAAAACCTCCGGGGCCGAAGCGCGTCCCTTCTGGCTGAGCCTCCCTCACCTGGGCAGGTGTTCTTGTTGCAAGCGATGGAGCAGAGCTCCAGGACCCGTTCAGCTCGCCCCCCATCCGTGCCCCGGTTGCGCAGATCGACAAGAATCAAGTGGTTGTCGGAGCCCCCTGCAAGGAGAGCCAAAAAAAAACCCCCAATAGTGGCTGAAGGGTGCGATGAAGCACCATCGTCCTTGGGAGCCCTGCGTGAATTTCGGAGAATTCGCCAGAGGAGAACCTCACACACGGCTGCCCAACAACACAATCCCGTTAGACGTCTATTCGGAAATAAACCTCGCGAGGTGTGGAAATTGTCCTGGAGAGGATTATTTTCTTACCGGTGACGATGTGGTATCCCAAGCTGGTGAGCGCGGCTGACAAAGCCTTGCAGTTGGCCACCACCTGTTGCTGGTACGTCTTGAATTCGGGAGTCATGGCTTGTTTCAAAGCCACGGCGATGCCTGTCCCGACCCCCCCCAAGAGCGGAAGATGGATTAAGTGGTGCCTCTGTACAATGACACCCCTGGGGGACAGGCCATGCCAGACTGAGACTGAGGGGTGGAAAAGCCTTCTGGCCAGAAGGAAGGGACTTTGCAAGACCTCCTGTGGTGTGAATGAAACCCATTTTTTTCAAACCTTTTCTTGCCCTGAGCTCGAAGGAAGCGGGCAGGAATACGTTCACCAATTTTTCTTCTTCCTCCCAGTTCCCAGTTCCCGATTGTCTTTTTCTCAAGTGCAGCTCACCTGCGATGGCGTGATTGTGAGGGCCTCCCTGGAGACCAGGAAAGACTGCCTGATTGATGAGACTTTCCAGGTTGTACAGGACCTCCTTCCCCGTTTTGGGGTCCACGCTGCGGACGCCTGGAGAAAGGAAGAAGGGTGTTTGGAAGATGCCGGATGCCTCCCCATCTTCTCCAGAGGCTTCAGCCCAGGAAGATGGAGCATCAGTGACCTGCTTGCTGCAACGCTCACCTTTCCGGTAGAAGATCATGCCAGCCCGGCAGCCCCGCAAGGTTTTGTGGGTGGTGGTGGAAACCACGTCACAGTGCTGGAAGGGGGAGGGCACCACGCCGGCGGCCACCAAGCCGCTGATGTGGGCCATATCGGCCATGAGGTAGGCGTTGTTCTCATCCGCGATCTTCCTCATCCGGGCGTAGTCCAAATTCCGGGAGTAGCAGCTGACCCCTAGAGTGGGAGAGAGGGCGAGGGTTACTCCAAAGGACTCCAGGGAAGGAGATACCAGCGGGGTCCCGGACTCCTTCTAGGACGGAGCTCCGCCTGACGTGGAAGGTCCTCGCACTGGAAAGTTAAGAGAAGCGTTCTCTCCTCCTCAACTTGATCTTCACAATTCTGTACATCGAATGCACTCCTGCCATTTTGGTCATTCTGGACTTTTCTGAAGTTGCAGTCCTACGACAAGGGAAGCACAACCTGGGGAAGGGTGCCCAGGCCCAAGCAGATGACCTCTGAGTAACCCCGGGGAGTGGAAGAGAAGGAGCCTCACCTGCAATGATCAGCTTTGGATGAAAAAGGCGGGCATTCTCCTCCAGCCGGTCATAGTCAATGTAGCCCGTTTCGGGATTGACCTGAAGCCAAATGAAGAAGTTAAGGGGTGCTTTCAAAATAAGGGGAGGGGGGCATGAGAAGCCAGGAAAGGCTTGTGGCAAACATGCTGAGGTTCCTCCCCCCCAATTCTTTTCACCAGAAGAGGAGTGCAATCCTGAAGTTCACAAACTCTGAGCCAGTTTCCCAGGCCTCCCTCCTTCCCTCTTTCTCTCAAGGTGGCATGGAGCTCACCTTGTAGGGCATGGACTCGAAGAAGATGGACGTGGCGGAGATTTTCTTCTTGTCGGTCATGAAGCCATGGGTGAGATGACCCCCATCCGGTAGATCCAAGCCCATAATCCTCCCGTGGGGCTCAACCAGGGCGGTGTACACGGCGAAGTTTGCGGGGGACCCTGGAACAAAGGGACGCAGAGAGGACCCACCCCGAGTCATGTTCAAACTCTGGTGGGTCTGGTGAAAATAGTCCTGTTGTGCCCCTAAGGACTGCCACCGAGGGGCATTCTGCAGTCCGTTCCAGAAGAGTTTGCGAAATACCTGAATAGGGCTGGACGTTCACCCCCCACTTCTGTGGGTCTAGCCCATAGGCCTCCAGGGCTCTCTTCTGGCAAAGTCTTTCCAACTCGTCCACAAATTCTGTCCCACCATAATATCTAATAGGAAAAAAAAAATAGATGGGAGCTTCAGCCACCGTTGGCTGGGGAACTCTGGGAGTTGAGGTCCACAAAGCTTAAGGTTGAGAATCGCTGGTTTAAATTCCACACCTTTGGAGTACGTGCATTTACAGGGAGAAATCTCTGAAGACCTTTAAATAGCCAGCTGAGCAAAACTGACACTGCCCCAGTGAGAAGGCTGCACAGCTACATGCAAAACAAGTTTCAGAAAACATCCCTGGGAAGAGACTAGAAGACTGTAGATCTGATGATCATTTTACCCACCAACATATCCAGTTCTGACCCCCACCATAGGGCCAATAATAATTCTGGAAATTAAGGGCCCAGTTTTAAGTCAAGGACTGTATCAATAACATGGGTGGGGTAGGGGAAAAACAGGTTGCTCCTAGCATCCCCTTTACAGGCCTCAGATGCAGGCTGGTGGAGGTGGGGGGCTTCATCTGGTCAAAGGGTCTTCAGGTATTCAATGCCAAGACCCCCCCGCTTCCTTCCCAGCCCCACCTTTGCCCCGGATATCCTTCTGAGTATTTGTTGTTCAGGCAGGAACCCAAGGCCTCCAGAACGGCTCGGCTGGCAAAGTTTTCTGACGCGATCAGCTCCAACCCGAGTCTCTGGCGCCGTTTCTCTTTCTTGATAATATCGTAGACCTGGGGAGGGCAGAAAAAGGGGCTTTCTGGAACATGATTGAGAGGGGGGGTCTATCTGGAGCTGGGGGTGAGAAGGCAGAGGGCGTGGCATGCACACCCCTCCAAAGAAAGGAAGTTCACCACGGGTCCCCGGGTAGTGGGGAGGTAAAGGATATAGTATAAAGTATAGTACGAAGGATATAGTCCATCTTGAGAGAGTAAGGTGCTTCACATATTTAAATGCCCATGGATTCTAATTTTCCTAAACAATTAACGATAGAACTTGGTTTGCCTTGGGGGGCTGCCGTGAATATCTGGTTTGATCAGTTGGCATCCTATCTTTGTACCATCACAGTAATTATTTTTGAACCTCCCTTGCGAAAGATTTCTGAAGTGCAGGTATATAATTCCCCGAGTGAGTCAATTACAACAATTCAGGAACCAATATTCCTGTTACATTCTTCCCGGATAGCCAGAGGGGGGAATGGAGGCGTTCCCTGGAGTTTCCCACGTGAGCCGCACCAGCAGTGACATTGCAGCTCATCCGGGCTGTTTACTCAGAGGAAGGGAGCCATCGATTACAACAAACCCAACTTTGGAACATGTTGTTCTCGCTGCTCTTATTCCCTACGCAAGGCTGAAAGGTGTGTCAACCTGGAAGAGCTGAGCCAGCTTAAAAACTTTCAACTGAACGTCACGCCGCCGGTCAGTGGCCTTTGCCCACCCGGATCAATACAGCCCCCTCCCAGTTGAGGTCACCAGTCAAAGAAGCAGAAGGGAACAGGAGAGGGACCTACCTCGGGGTCATTGGTGTCCAGGGCTTCCATCACCATCTTGTTGTGAGAGACCCAGAGGTCCCTGGTGACCTGGTCTCCGCCGGCGTGTGTGCTGGCCATGGCAGCTGGAAGTACTAGCAGCCTGCAAAAACTTGGTTTTGTAAAAAACACCAGTGCTGCGTCTCGCAAAGTATTTTGCAACATAGAACAAAATCAGCATTCTGTTACCGCCCTCAAAAAGGAGTGTCTCTGCCTTGCATTTAGGCAATGATTTAAGGTGTGTGTGTGGGGTGTGTGAGGGTTATAAGACGGGAATCAATGCAAACCAGAGTGATGTCAGTAGTGAGACGGGTGGTGTATAGATTTGATGGATGAATGAATGAACCAACCAGTCTAAACATCCAGGAAGTGGTGGGGGGGGGGGGGCAGACCTGCAGCTTATGTTCTGATGTTGTGGTTTACCCAGTGGCCAGATCAAGCCTCGAAGAGTGTGTCTTGGTGCCTTCTGAATCCGGACAGTTTGTAAACCATTAGATTTAGATTAGAACGGGTCTTTACACTCTGGCCAACTTTAAGATGGGTGGACTTCAACTCCCAGAATTCCCATGTGCCAGGAACTGAAGTCCACCCATCTTTAAATTGCTAGGGTAGAGAAAAAAACGGTTTAGAGGATTGTGTGAATTCATCCCAGTGTTTGTGCTTTGAACAATCCTCTCTTTAGCATTTAGTTGTATGAATAAAGCCTGGGGGGGTGGAATGAAAAGGGAAGGAGCCAGCTGAGTGAGGCTCTTGCTGGACAACGGCCCAACCAACAGCTGTAGAAGAAGGGTTCTAGACATGGTTCCCAAGGGGGTGGGCAGCAGGAGGCCCTAAGGCAGCGGTGGGCAAATTTGGCAAATTTTAAGACTTGTGGACTTCAAGAATTCCCAGAATTCAGAGAGTTGAAGTCCACAAGTCTTCAAAGTTACCAAGATTCGAGAGGCAGCCCTGTCCAAAGTGATGCCATGACAAGCCCAGCGGCTTCCCATCAGCTGACCCCGATCCTTCCCTCCCTCCCAGAGTTTCTGCCTAGACAAAAAGAGGGATTGTCTTTACCACTTCAAGTTATATATTAACTTTCCAAGAGGAGCAAAAGTCTTCGGGAAGCTCCCAACCCTGCTGTAATCTAGTGTTGAAATTCTGCCTGGCCTCAAGTCCTGCCTAACTTTCCCGTTTACAGGCCACGGACGGCAGGAACCCCATCAGTTACGGAGGGCACCAAACTGTCAGGTTGCACACAAGTTTCTGTGCAAACACTTGTAGAGTTTTCCTCCTATTCCTTTTTTGCTCGAGGCCTGCCTGGCATCTCAGGAGCGAATATGAACTTGGTGCACAGCTTCTAATGTTTGCAATGCTGAAAACTGACATTATAATCAGCAGCTTTGTGGATACCTACCTCTGGATCCCTGATCACCTTATTCAGTTAGTTAATCCGCATTTTGTATATAAGCGCCTCTCTCACTGTCCCCTTGCCAAGCAAGTTTTTAAAATCCCAGCTACACTCCTGTAAACGGCTCCTCTGCACACAGATTGCATTCTCACGAGTGAGAATACACGTGTCTCAGGATTATGATGTAAAATCGGTTCCCGGGACCAGAGATTTACTCTATTAGATTGCTAATATGTTCTAATAACATTCTAATACATGTTTTCCAGGCAGGAGAAAAACAGGCTGATCCAGAGGCAGCGACCTAAAGCTACCAACGATCTGCAACCGCCCCGAGCTGGGGATGACAGCCTGGCAGGGCTCCCGTTTTGCAACGGGCTGCAAAAGCCTGGGAGGCAGGGGAGAGAAAGCGGGAGCGACCTGTTGAATTTCCGCCTGTTATGCAGAGAAGTAGCCCTGCGGAAAAGAGCGAGAGATCCTACAGAAAAAAAAGGAGAAGGTTCCTCCTCCCCCCCCTCTCCAAACCATAATACTTACTGGGATCCTCGGTGCAACGGCGGACGCCCCCGCGAAAAAGAGGCGCCTCCCTGCAAACTCCGGGCTTAAATCCACGAGGCCCCGCGCGCTCGGGGGATGGAACGTTCAGCACTTTCTGCCCCGCGCCTCAGCCAATCAGCGCGCTCGCCTGGCCCTCCCGGAGGATTCTACCGCGGCGCGTCACAGCCAATCAGAGGAAAGCAGCCCGGCCCGCCTCCCGCGCGCTCTTTTGCATCGGAGAGATTTTGCAAAGAGATGCGCGGATTGCGCAAGAGAATCAGGCATCCCTCGCGTTGAGATTTTTAACTTTTTTCTATCCAGAGAGTTAAGATCAAAATAAAAATCCAAGGAGTAAGATTTCTGGCTGTATTCATTATGCACTTGCCCAATCCGGAAGCCAAATTTTTTTAAAATCCACTTTTTTGCAAAATTGGATTCCTAAACTCCATCCTCGCTCCCCAAAAGGATCTTCCGAGGATTGGCTGCGAATTAGAGCAGTAATTAAACAATAGAAGACATGAGCTATTGGAGCAGAAAGACTGCGATTTCTCAGCCTTGGAAAAGTTTTGTGGACTTCAACTCCCAGAATCCCCCACCAAACATCTGGCTGGGGAATTTTGGGAGTTGAAATCCACATCAGTGGTGAAATCCAATTTTTTTTACTACCGGTTCTGTGGGCGTGGCTTGGTAAGGATACTGCAAAATCTCCATTCCCAGGGGAAGGATACTGCAAAATCTCCATTCCCACCCCATTCTGGGGTCAGCCAGAGATGGCATTTGCTGGTTCTCTGAGAACTACTCAAAATTTCCGCTACCGGTTCAGAAATGTCAGAATCTGCTGGATTACACCCCTGGTCCACATATCTGAAATTGCCAGTTTTGTGATACGCTGGTGTGAATCCTTGCAACTGGGATGAATTTGTCATGTCTGCTCTATTTATAGATTTGTTTTATTCCAACTTTATTATTTTTATAAACAATTCAAGATAGTGAAGCTGCATAGCATTTCTTCCTCCTCCTATTTTTACCACCACCACCATCCTGTGAGGTGGGCTGAGCTGAGAGAGAAAGAGGGATCGGGCTAAAGTTTTCATGCCTAAACCCGGACTTATTAAGTATTAATAACAATTAATACTTAATAAAGCAGTTTCTTTCCATCCCTGTAAGTGAAACCAGCATCCGCCATTAATGACCTGCATTCCAATAAATTCGCAGCTTGAATAATTCTTTTTAAAGGCTTAAAGTTCCATCAGAAACAGATTGAGGAAGGAGAGGTGGAATATATTAAATAAATCAAATTCCCCTAAAGTCACACTTATGGAAAGAAGAAGGAAAATCTTCAAGCCACCCTGAATCACCGCTGGGAAGATCCCTCTCTTCCAAACAAACAGACAAAATGCGACACAGTGGAGGTAGCGATCCAGAATTTGATCCAGGAGAGGCATCGGCTGGAAGAGGAGAAAAGAGGGGTGAGTTTTCCCATATATTCCTCTCCACCCAGAGAAGGGGAGAAATAGAGGGAAAAAAAAAACCAGAGAAAGAATACGGAAGGATTTGTGTCAGCATAGAGGAAAAGAGAAGGAGGAAAACATTTTTTAAAAAAAATCAAAGGAAGCAAGGGAAATCAATATATTAACAATAAAATTTAAAAAAGGGGGGTTTAAGCAGAACAAAATCCCAACAGGGGACAATGCTGGAAAATGCAAGCCACAATATTCCTAATTAAGAAAAGCAATTACCGATAATGTGCTGCTTAATATTGAAATAAAATTAATGTTGTAATTGCCGTTAGGCCAAATTTTGCTTCAGTCCAAGTTTGGGGGCCGTTTCCTTCCTGTCGGATTGCTTTTCTTCAAGGAGAGACTGGACTGCCATCTGTCAGAAATGGTGTAAGGTCTCCTCCTTGGGTGCGGGGTTGGGCTGGAATGATCTACAACGTCCCTTCCAACTCTGTTATTCTTCATAAATTTTAAACCATTTTTGGCAACCTCCAATGAGATAAACTTCACGTTTAAATGAGACGTTTATCTCATTTCAGGATTCTCTCTTCCGAATGGAAAACATCTCCCTCTCGCCTTTCCTGACCCCTTCCACTCCGGGGCCCGAGAAGATCACCCCTTCAGCCCCGGATCCCTCCCAGGGCATCGAAAGGATCCTGTATCTTCTCTCCATCGCGGTCTACGGGGTGGCCTGTCTCCTCGGGGTGACCGGGAACGGCCTGGTCATCTGGATCGCCGGCTTCAAGATGGAGAAGACGGTGAACGTGGTGTGGTTCCTCAACCTGGCGCTGGCCGACTTCGTCTTCACCTTCTTCCTGCCCCTGAGCATCACCTACACGGCGCTGGGTTTCCACTGGCCCTTCGGACGTTTCCTCTGCAAACTCAACAGCAGCCTGGCCTTCCTCAACATGTTTGCCAGCGTCTTCCTCTTGACTGTCATCAGCCTGGACCGCTGCCTCTTGGTGGTCCTGCCGGTGTGGTCCAGGAATCACCGGACACCCCGGCTGGCCTGGGCCATCGCGCTGGTGACCTGGGGGGCCGCCTTGCTCATCAGCTCCCCGTATTTCCTCTTCCGAGACACGGCCCTGAGCGCGAGGAACGTCACCAGCTGCTACAACAACTTTGCCCTCTCCAGCAACTACACCAGCGAGGAAAGCCGGAGCCTGTGGAAGAAAAGGCACAGAGCCATGATCCTGGCCAGGTTCGTCTTTGGCTTCCTCCTGCCCTTCACGGTGATCGCCGTCTGTCACGGCGTAGTGGCTTTCCAGGTGCAGCGCAGGCGCCTGGCCAAGTCGCCCAAGCCATTGCGGATCATCGCGGCCGTGACGGCCTCCTTCTTCCTCTGCTACTCGCCCTACCACGTCCTCTCCCTGCTGGAGATGTCCAAGACGTCCGGCAGCCCAATGGTCAAGAGGGTGCTGCACCTGGGGGTCCCGCTGGCGTCCAGCCTGGCCTTCTTCAACAGCTGCCTCAACCCGCTTCTCTACGTCTTCGTGGGGCAGAAGAGCTTCCGGCGGTCCATGCGGGGGGCTTTTGAGGGGGCCTTCGGGGAGGATGCCCTCCTGTCCTTGTCCAGCAAGAGGAAGTCCCGGGCCGCCTCCCAAACGGAGATCCGGATGGCTTAGCTAGGAAAGCAAGTTTAAGAGATGATGTGGATGAAGAAGGAAGGGCCCACTTTGGTTTCTGTTGTACTTTGGGGTCTGGCAATGGCCAACTGGACCCAGCTGTTCTTGGGGGGGGGTGTCAAAGATTTGAACTGACCAAGAGGCCGGCTCCTGTCCAGGGGGCCCTTCCTGCCCTCTGCCCATGCCCAGAAAACATTTCTTTGTGCACATGCTGGTGGCAATAAAGTTCCTTTGCAGCAGTCTTATGTAGTGCAATTGTTGTGATGGACCCCCCCACCTACCCCCCACTAGAAAGACAGGTTTGCCAGGAACTTCCCCCATGCCTGAGCAAAGCCCCCTCTCCAGGACAGGGAAGGCAGGGCACCCCCTAAACTGCCAATCTCCCTTGCGAGAAGAGCTTGGCAAGCCCTTGGGGGTGGGCTTCAACGGCATCTTGATTGGGGGAGGGATCCCTCGGATACAAGCATCAGCATTCCCCGAGGGGGGTCTTTTGGGGGAGAGACCCCCCCACCCCACCACTTTGAAACAGACGGTTGCAGAGCTTTCTCTGCAGCTCGAAGTCAAACTTTTTCCTGGCCGAAGCCCCCTCCCCTCCCCTTCCTCTTTGATACAATGACCCCGCGAGGTAGACCGCCCCTGCCTCTAAAGCAGTGTTTCTCAACCTTGGAAGCTTGAAGATGGGTGGACTTCAACTCCCAGAATCCCCCAGCCAGCAGAGCTGGCTGGGGGATTCTGGGAGTTGAAGTCCACCCATCTTCAAGCTACCAAGGTTGAGAAACCCTGCTCTAAAAAGGATGGAGAAGGCAGGATGGTCTCAGAGGGGGCGGGGCCAGCCGCCGCCGCCGCCGCGGTGGGCTCGGATTGGCGGAGGCTCGCGAGGGGCGGAGCCTGAGCAGCCCCGCCCCGCCGCCATTTTGCAGCCGCCGCCGCCGCCGCGCCAGCCCCTCCGAGGGGCGCAGGTGGGTGGTGGTCGTCGCGGGGGTGCGACCCCCCCCACCCCGCCCCACAAACCCCACCCTGGGAGGGGGTCTCCAGGCGGGGGAGAGCGCGGACACGGAAGATGCACGTATGAATGCGCCCGCGCCGCCCCCCCCCCTTCCCCCCCCCCCTACCCGGGCAAGGGGGGGGTCTTGGGTGGGTGGGGGGAGGGGTGGGGAGGGGGATGTGGGGGAGGGGTGGTGACCTAGATGCAAAATGGGGAGCCTCCCCTTCAGCCCAGTCAATTCTCATAGGAAGCCTTTTCCTTCCTTTTCTTTATTAAAGACTTTCCTGGGCTTGAAGTGGGGGGGGTGTCTGTGTGGCCCCCTCCCCAATTTAACCCTGGAAGGGGCCCTCGGGTGTGTCTCTCATTCGGTGGGATATTCTCTGTCCTTAAACTGCAAATTGCAGGCTTGCCTCTTCTCTCTGCTGCCCCTCCAGAAAATAGGGGGAAGGGGAAAAAAAAAAAGCCCACCCTAATATACTACCTTATCTTAATTATATATTTATTTATTTTATTCATTTTTGTTTGATTTGATTTCTGTACCGCCCTACTCCCGAAGGACTCAGGGCGGTGCACAGCCAAACAAGAAAATAACATACATACATACAAAATTTAAAAAGCAGAATTAAAATCAAAATTAAATAGTTTTGGCCCAGACAAATTAAAACCCCAGTCAATTTAAAACCGGTTTTAAAATTTGAATAGATAAAATACTAAAAAATATTAAAAATTAAAAATTCTTTTATAAAAGAGGGAGAAAATATAATTATAGGTTTTCTGTAGCCTTGTTTGCAGCCGTAGGAATTGCAAGGAGGTGGATATTAGCTCTAGTTCTTCCATAGCATATTCCCTGTTAATAATCAAATTATGGCTTATATATGATTTATTTATTTGTTTATTATTTGGACTTATTAGTTATTATTTGGGCTTATAGATTGAAACTCTATAGATAGAGCTCTCCTATAAGGTTTGCTTGCTTGCACCCATGCATGGTTGGCCTCTCCCTCCAGGAACTAAAAGGGAAGGAGCCGTGTTATTTTTATTTATTTGCAAATTTTTATAGCCGCTCGTCTGGCGAGCGAGTGACTTTTATTATAGCTTTTCTTTTCTTCTGGAACCTGACTTGCAAAGGGCTATAGGTTAGGGCAGTGTTTCTCAACCTTGGTAGCTTGAAGATGGGTGGACTTCAACTCCCAGAATCCCCCAGCCAGCGCTGCTGGCTGGGGGGTTCTGGGAGTTGAAGTCCACCCATCTTCAAGCTTCCAAGGTTGAGAAACATTGGGTTAGGGGACTGAATCCTGGGGGGCGTTTCTTGGAGACATTCATACATGCCTTGCTGTCCTCCCCCCAAAAAACCTTAATTGCAAGCGGACTTATAGAATAGGATAAAACCTTTTTCACTTCAAATGTGCACTAATCAGCATACATCAAAATGAAATTTATAGCCTGATCTATATTATATTATCCTATAGGGTCTTAATATTTTATCATAACACATATCGTAATGTGCCTGCTTAAGAGCCCTAGCACGTTTCTGGTAGAGCATCCTTTGATTTCATGGGGGGGGGTCTTCTCATGTCCCCCCCTTGTGTTGCTTATCTGGTAACCCTTAAAGATGGATGGGCTTTTAGGGGGCTCCTGCACAGCTGGGCGGCCCTTTAATGGGAGCAGATGAGGGTCCCCTCCCCAATTCCACAGAGACCTGGTTTATTTAGGGGTTGATTTTTTCAGGGGGAAGGTGATCTTGCGTGCATTTCCCCTCCCATCCACCCCTCTATTTGAAATGCTGGGAATTAGACCCTTCAAATGAAATTATAGTGGGTGCGGCTGGTTGAGGGGGGGGGAGATGCTGTGGGGGAGAGAAAATGCAAAAGGGCGGTTGAAAATCAAAGCACCAGCTAAAAAACAACAACTTTGGAGGCCAGAGAAAGCAATGGGAGGGGAGAGGTTTCCTGGAAATCTCAAGCCTGGAGGAGGAGGCTGGATGAAAATCCACCCTGCAAGATGTCCATCCATTTCTGGAGAAACTTCCATGGGTGTTTCCCGCAAAGTCACTCGGACTTCAGTCTGGCTCCAAAGAGGCTGGACTTTCCCCTTCCGACAACCGATTGGTGTTGTTTACCGTCTGGTGGATGCCTTTTTCCTTCAGAAGGGGGTTTATTTCCCTGCAGAATTTGAATCGGCAGCTGGGTTTGTGAAGGGGTGACTTTTCTGCTGCCCTATTACCTGTTGCCAAGTCCCACTACTCAAAAAAAAAAAATCTGAAGGGAGGGGAGAAGATGGATCGTGACCCTGATGGCGTTCAACCAGGTTCAGATTTGCCTCTGCTGTTTTACGGCCTCTCTGCCTCGGCTCACTTTCATTTTATTTCTGTCTACCTTTTATTTTTATGGGGGAGTCTTTTTGTTCTGTCTGTCATTTTACAGCTGCGTGTGCAATTTTCACTCGCTGCCTGCTTCTTGTCTGGGTCAGGCTCTGGCCCTTGCACAGCCGAGGCTGTGTTCCTCCAATGGCTTTCTGGCAGTTTTTCCCCCTGCTGTGACCTGCAGCCATGTTTCTAAATCCAGATGGAGCCCATACACTTTACAACATCTGCCCCACGCACCCGGTCCCTCCTGTGCCAGGAGGCAGGAAAAATCTGCTTGCGACTTGAAATATCCATTACTGTCAAATGAACAAAATAGAAGGCTGCTCCATGGTGAGCAGGAGTCGTGTGTATTTCACCAGATGGATATTCCCACGGATGGGCAAGGAAGAGGTTGCTCTTGCTGGATTTTAGCACACACACACTGTTTAAATTCTATTTAGAGAGAGATGAGGAGTCCTGGAATACGAAGAGAGCTGGCAAGTTGTCTGGAAAACAGGATGGAAATAACAGCGTCTCTCTCTCTTTCTCTCCCTCCCCAAGAGGGACGGGCAATTCTCCCTTCTGAGGTGCTGTGAAATCCAGCTTTTTTGGACCCCAGGACCAGCCGTGGCCTCAGTCACTCTAGGATTGCAGTGGCTCCGAAGCAGAATGGGTCTCCTGATCCCCCTTTCTGGGGGAACCTGCTGCGAAGAACCAGCCTTGATTGCAGGAGAATCCCAGAACGTCCTCTGGAAAGATTCTTGCATTGACCCACCATGTGGAGATTTTATTCTTTCATGGACTTCACTCCCAGAATGTGATCTTCGTGCGGCTTCATCGCAAATTACTGATCCAGTCGGTTCGCCTAGTGGATTTGCCTGGTTTACGAATTGAACCCTGGCTTTTATTTTACAAATTCATCCTTGCCCTGCGTCTGTCTTGCAGCTGCCAGCCTTCCTTGCCAGCCATAAAGGCCTGTGCCAGTTGAAGTTGCCGTTGGCGCCTGTGTCACAAGACCCGGCTTTGGGTTGCGCGTTGTGGTTTTCATTCTCCACTGCATTGTCGCTGCTGCTGCTGCCTTGGAAAGGAAGTGTTTTGCCAGGCGGTTTTTGTTATTTTTGTGCCTTTCGTCTTTTCCCCCTTTCCAATGGCTGCCTGCTCGGGGACAAGAGGCTGATTTATGTATTTGAACAGGCAGAACGGTTTACGAAGCGTGAAAGATTTTCCAAACTGCTTTGGGCTGGGAAACGACACCAGACCTAAACAAACAGAATGTTTCTGATTTGCCTGGGAGACAAAAAAGACTTTTATAATGTTGCTGAGCAGTGCTGGATGCAGTTCTGACTCAAACTATTTCTTCTCTCAATAGATGCCACAATCAGAGGGGCAGTTTTCGTGTTAGGATCTTTCATCTCTTATCGGTCAGACAGTTCTGGCTTTTAGCACAATTTGCACATTCCACCTCTTGGTAAACTAATCCTCTCTGAGTAATAAAGTTGGCATCGGATGATGTCCTGGGACTGGAGTACATTTTAAGGAACATTCATTGGTTTTGGCACTTTGTTTAAGCCTAATCCCACACTTGCTGGCGGGGGACTGAAGTTATTTCCTGTTTTCGGTTTTCAAAGATAGCAAACAGATTTCTTGAACTGGAGCTGCTTTTTAATAGAGCGATCTATCTTCTTTTTCTGCAGGTGCTTAAAAGAAACATTCTAGAAGAAGCGTGAAGCGTGGTGGGCAGAGTTCCCGAAACTCTTTTCCTGGATCACATCTTTATTGTAAGTGCAAAGAGCTGGAGTGCTATTCTGTGATTGGAAACAGCCATAGGGAGGAAAAAACGGCTGAATTAACTGTTGGTTGTTGTGTGTAGATCCTTAAGCATATGCAGACTTTGCTTCCCTGTGGTGGACCCTAAATCTGTTGGTTGGGAAGACTTAAGGTTTAGGTTACTGTACCTGCTTTTCTTCATCCATGGTTTGTATGGCCTTCAGATTCTTAAGCTGCTGGTAAATGAGGTTCCTTGAGGTTATAAATGAGATTTTTGCTCAGGAAGGCACAGCTTGTGTTGCTGGGTGAAAAGCGGGTGGTATTAAAGCCCTCTAAATCAGGGGTCTCCAACCAGCTTTGCTGGCTGGGGAATTCTGGGAGTTGAAGTCCTCAAGTCTTAAAGTTGCCAAGGTTGGAGACCCCTGCTCTAAATCAGCTCTGCTGGCTGGGGAATTCTGGGAGTTGAAGTCCACCCATCTTAAAAGTGGTCAAGATTGATGGAGAAGCATTGCTTTAAATGTTCCAGGGGAGACTTCTCCGTCCTCTTGCAGAAGCTCTTGAAATGCAAGATTTCACTAACTTTTGTTTGGTTGAGGGTTGCTGAAAAGTTCTTGGTGAAATATTATTATGATTTTTTTGGGCAGTCTATCCGAAGGCGAGACGACAAAGGCAGTATTGATGTTTTGCCTGGCACCCGTTGGAACCGGGCCCATCATGAACGTCACGAAGGGGGGTCTGGTCCTGTTCTCGGCCAACTCCAACCCTTCCTGCATGGAGCTCTCAAAGAGGATTGCTGAGTAAGGCTTCCCTTCGGCTCCCTTCTTTTTCCTGACTGTTTTCAACAGTAGAGTTTTGATATAGAGGGGTGATGGATGACAGTCTCTCTCTCTCTCCCTCTCTCTCTCTCCGTCTCTCTCTCTCTCCCTCTCTCTCTCTCTCTCTCTGTCTCTCTCTCTCTCTCTCTCTCTCTCTCTCTCTCTCTCTCTCTCTCTGTCTCTCACACGCACACACACAGACACACAGAGTGAGTTTAGAGTCTTTTGTTTAAGTCAGGGTTTGATTGATAATTGGTTAGAGATCAAGCAAATTGAACTCTTCCAATGCAGAGCTTCTTGAAGGTAGATGGGACTTCAACTCCCAGAAATCACTAGTCCACCTGCTGGCTGGGGAATTCTGGAGTTGAAGTCCATACCTGCTGGATCCTCTTCCTCTTCCTGACCTTGCTTTCTCTCGGACCCTTTTGTAGGCGCCTGGGTGTGGAAATGGGCAAGGTGCAGGTGTACCAGGAGGCAAACAGAGGTGAGTAGAGGACACCTGTGGCCTCACTATCTGAAGGTTGAAGGAGGAGGAGCAACTTGTTCATTAAATGTCTCCTCCTTCCCTGCTGCGCAGACACAAACACAACACGCATATTTTCTGGAGAATCCTGCCGTTTGCAACGATGCCTCCTTGTTCTGATTTTCAAAAACCACTTGTGCGTTTTCATTTTACATCGCACTGCGATGTCATTTACTTGACACGTGTGTGTAAGTCCTGAGCACATCTGTTTTGCTTTTTTTCCCCTTTTTGGCAGAAACGAGGGTGCAGATTCAGGAGTCCGTGAGAGGCAAAGATGTTTTCATTATCCAGACCGTTTCCAAGTGAGTAAAACCATCGACTGGGAATAAGTCTCCTTGAATTCATTCTGCTCGTCTGTCTTGGTCATATTTGCAAAAATGATGCTTTAGTTTTGCAGTTTTGTGTTGTGTATTTCAGAGTGTCCTCCGATAACATTAACATGTTGCTATTCTGACTCACTGTTTGGAGCAGTGAGGACCGGTGGTAACTCAGGGGAAAAAGGCTGATCCACCAGGTACATCCAGCCGCAGACAAGCAGGAGCTGCAAAGCTCCGTCGGAAGGGCGGTTGCTGGATTGGCGTCTTTTCCTTCCAGGGACGTGAACACCACCATCATGGAGCTGCTGATCATGGTCTACGCCTGCAAGACCTCCTGCGCCAAGAGCATCATCGGCGTGGTGCCCTACTTCCCCTACAGCAAGCAGTGCAAGATGCGGAAACGGGGCTCCATCGTCTCGAAGCTCCTGGCCTCCATGATGTGCAAGGCAGGTAAGAGCCTTTTGCCCTTGCCCGGCCTTTGCCGCCCAGGGTAACAGGCGGCCTGGATGGAGCAATGCCGACCTGATTCTTGCCTCTGCCCTCCCCAAAGGGCTGACTCACCTGATCACCATGGATTTGCACCAGAAGGAGATCCAGGGGTTCTTCAACGTGCCGGTGGACAATCTGAGGGCGTCACCGTTCTTGCTGCAGTACATCCAGGAAGAGGTGAGCCAGGCCGAATCCTCGGCCTCCGGGCTGGGCAGCTGCAGAGGGCAGACCAGGGCAATCTGTCCTGCGCCGGGAAATGAGGTGGAAGTCAGCCACGCCTCAGGGTGTGTGTAAAGACATCCCCGCTCCTTTTAGGATGGATGCCAAAAATGAAGCCATGGGGGCAAAGCAGTGTTGTGGCCTATCGGCTGCCGGTCCCTCCAGCAGCCAAATCGGAGGAGGAGGAGGAGGAGGAGGCGTGGGAGTCAGGGTCAGCATCAAGGCAACCTGAGAGCTCCGAGGGGGAAGAGGGAATGGAGCTGGCAGAGAGAGAGAGAGACAGAGGCGGAGCCTGGAGAGTCAACAGCCCCCAGGTCTGGAGGTGGCAGATGAGGGAGAGGAGGAACAGCTGGGTCCCATGCCTGACGCATGGATGTGCAGAAGGCAGAGGAGAGGAGAGCAGTGGAAATCTATGGGCCGGTCCTTGGGACAGAAGAGCCACCACTACTAGCAAAGCCCCACCCTAGCTCTGGGGATAAAAGGGAGGGGGCGGAGAGGAATAGGTGTGGCAGACAACTATTTATCTTCTGGCCAGATGGACTTGTTAGCCTGCGTTGAGAGAGAAACTTTTTGCTGGGGCTGCTGGCGCTCCTAATAAAGGAATCATTGAGTTAACTTCAGAGGGTTTGTCGTGTTTGGGGAGCTGGGTCAGAACAGGCAGTAATCTCTAGGGTTTAGATGGGCCCGAATCTCGGGGGCTTTGCAGCTTGGAATCTGGATGAGATTGTGGGGGGCAGAGGCAGCACCCCGGTTTTGGAATTCAGCTCTCTGTAGAAGGAAGGATACAGGCTTTTTGTAGTCAAGGTAAAAGGCCAGCTCTGAGTGTGGTTGTACTGCTTTTTGTTGTGTAGATTCCGGACTACAGGAACGCTGTGATTGTGGCCAAGTCTCCTGCATCTGCGAAGAGGTAGGTGGGTCTCTGACTCCCTAAGCCCATCTAGTCTTTCCCCAGAATTCAGTAGGGCAGGGGTGTCCAACCATGGCCACTTTAAGACCTGTGGACTTCGACTCCCAGAATTCCCCAGCCAGCATGGGTAGATTCTGGACTGCAGCATGGCTGGCTGTGGAATTCTGGGAGTCGAAGTCCACAGGTCTTAAAGCAGCCAAGGTTGGACACCCCTGGATGACGTTCCTTCCCCTGAGATGTTTCTACGTGTTGTGTGGGGCATTTCCTCTCCTCGTATCTGTGCCCATGCCAAGAACATGGTGGGCTCATTGTCTTTCTCGGCAGGGCGCAGTCATTTGCTGAGCGTTTGAGGCTGGGCATCGCCGTGATCCACGGAGAGGCTCAAGATGCTGAGTCTGACCTGGTGGACGGGCGCCATTCGCCCCCAACTGCCAAAAGCGCCGCCGCCATTCACCCCAGCTTGGAGATACCCAGTAAGTAGCCTCAGGCAAGGAGAGTGGCTTGGCTTGCCTTCCTCTCAAATAAGGCTATAACCCATGGCCGGAAGGGAAGAGGGGATTTCTGGTGGAAAATCCACCTGGTTTGGAGGTTTGTGCTCAAAGGAGGGATGGAGAAGCTCTGCCTGGGATGGAATGAAAGTGCGAATGGCCTTGGGAGAAGGAGGAAGAGATGCTGAACAGGGAACGATCAGATAAGAGAGGACGTAACCCAGAGCTGCATAACGGGCAGAGGGAGAAATTCAGAAGATAATCTCTCTAACTTCTCAGGCTGTAAAAGGGATGGGGGGAGATTTGTACTTTTAAATTCAGAAGGTGGATCCTCTTAAGGTTCCCCCGCCTCTGTCTCCCTTGATCAGAGTCAGGTTGGCTGGGGGTAGGCCGCTTTGCCTGGGGTGGCATTTTGCAGGGCTCGAGGCAGAAATCCCCATCCCAGTTTTCTCTCATCTTTCTTCTTTTTTTGCCAGTGCTGATTCCGAAAGAGAAGCCGCCCATCACTGTGGTTGGAGACGTTGGGGGACGAATAGCCATCATTGTGGTAGGTGGCCATCACGGCCTGGAGGCCTGCAAGGCTCAGAGCCTGCCTGTACAAAAACGGAAGAGAGTTTTGGGCGAATCTCCACCTTGATTTGAAAAAAGACCCCATTTCTCTTTCCTGAACTCGTGAAAGCGGAACTGCTTCGTAATCCGGGGATGCCAGTCCTGGCTTGTCTGCTCTTGAGTGGTGTTGGGTGCCAGGCTAAGCTCCCTTTCTTATTCCTCGGGACTTGAACTTGCCCTGCGCAGAGGTGCCTGTGGGAGTGTGGTCAGAAAAGTCAAGATGGCAGCTGCAAACGCTGGGGTTGAAAGTCCCCCAGGGGCAGGCAGATTAAATCTCCCCCAGCCCCTCTTAACAACATCCTGGTCTCCCCGGTCAGGACGACATCATTGATGACGTGGACAGTTTCCTTGCGGCCGCAGAGACCCTGAAGGAGCGAGGCGCCTATAAGATTTTCGTCATGGCCACCCATGGCCTCCTCTCCTCCGACGCCCCCCGGTTGATAGAGGAGTCGGCAATCGATGAGGTATGCGGGAGGCCTGGCTGGCCGAGGGGCTGCATTCGGCAGATGAAGTTGAACAGTTGGGGAAAGCAGCGTGGCTCGTGGCCACGGGAGGCCCTGGGTTCAAAATCCGGCCCTCTGGTTCATGCCTCAGCTCCTGCTCCCTCATCGTCTGGGCCTGAATGCCCCAGAAGGAATGTAGGCCAGTGTTTTTAAACCTTGGCAGCTTTTAAGATGGGTGGACTTCAGTTCCCGGAATTCTGGGAGTTGAAATCCACACACCTTCCAAGTGGCCAAGGCTGAGAAACACCGTCGAAGCACCTTGCAGGCAAGCTCAGTTAATTCCCCAGCACGAGGCCTGTGAACCTCACCCCTAACGCCATGATTTGAACCCAGTTCTTGTGGGCTCAGGCTTAGAAATTTGCCCAGTTGGTTTAGCTGTTGGTCTCCTTCCTCTGAAGACCCTTAAAGGGTTCAGATTTAACCTGTTTCATCACGGAGCCCTTTGGTGACTTTAAAGCAGTTCAGCCCACCTCACTCTGCCGGGCAGGAAAGAGCCCTCTGTAACCTTCCCTTGAGCTCTTGCAGACAAGGCAGGACCGAAATACGGGGGATAAATTAAATTAAACATTTTAAAATAATCTTACTCGGTCGGTCGATTCATGGTGATCCATTCCAGGGCTGAATTGAAGCAATGCCTAGGGCTCCAAGAGGGTTTGTCCAGATTTGCAAGGAGGTGAGACCTCAACTCCCCAGTAACAACCTCCCCCCCCCCCAGTAATTTCTGATCTCTGCTTTGTTTCAGGTGGTGGTGACCAATACCATTCCTCACGAGATCCAGAAACTGCAGTGCCCCAAAATTAAGACGGTGGACATCAGCCTCATCCTCTCGGAGGCCATCCGCAGAATCCACAACGGAGAATCCATGTCGTACCTTTTCAGAAACATAGGACTAGATGACTGACAGTTGCTTGGGAGGGCTCGAAGGAAAGAAAGAAAGAAAAAAGATTTTTTTAAGGGGCCAAACTGGACACGGGACAGAAACCCAGCTGTGAAACTTTTTGTGGCTTAATCTCTGTATTTTGGTGGGAGCCCTTTTTTTATTAGATGGCTTTTATTCCAACCCCCCTTCCCCCCCCTTCTTTCCGGTGGTTTAAATGGAGTAGACAAAATCCTCAGAGCTATTTTCCTTGCGATTTTGTTTTCGAGAAAGAGAAAGGATTTTATAAAAAGTTTTAAAAAAACAACAGAAACAACAACCCTCTTTTCAGCTTCTAGAGACGGTCAGGTTAGCTGTGCTATTTTGCAGGCAAGACCCCCACCCCACCCACCCCCCACCCCCCCCGGCAGAGATTTTTCTGCTGCAGCTTCATTGCAAGGAATCCAAATTGGGAAATGGCCCTATTGATGGTTTTCCTCTTTTTTGGGGGGTGGGAGGGATTTGGGGTGATCTTGGCAGCAGGAAGGACTGCACCTCAAGGGCATTTATTTCTAACATGGATCCGGAACTGGAATCGACTCATGTTCATAAGACTATTTTGTCCCAGCAAATATGAAGAGTCCTGCACTCCATTAGAGCCACGTTTCTCAAGCTTGGCCACTTTAAGATGGGTGGACTTCAACTCCCAGAATCCAAGCTGGCTAGGGAATTCTGGGACTTGGAGCCTATCCATCTTAAAGTGGCCATAGAGCTTGGAAGTACTGCCATAGAGCTTGAGATAAAGGCATTCATGTCAGACCCGGCTATTTGTCATGTGAAAATAGCCGCTTCATACAAAACACGGTTGCACATGTGGGAGGGAAATGAACGGAAGCGGCTGTTTTCATAGGAGTTGAACCCTGGGAATCGAAATCCACCGATCTTAAAAGTGGCCAAGCTTGGGAAACGCTGCCTTAGAGCTTGGGATGAAAGCACCCATGTCAGACTCGGCTACTTGTCATTGGAAACAGCCGCTTCTGTTCCTTTCCATCGTTCGTGTGCATCTTTTATGCATCTTTCCATGAGATTCGCACAGGAGGCGTTCTCCTGCGTTTTTGGAAGACGAGGTAGCCCATAATCTTCCTTCCTGATCCTCTCAGCTTGCTTTCAAGTGCTTTTGTGTATTGTTCGACAAACGGTAGCTACGGCGTCGAGTTTGTGTCCGAGACCAGCCAAACAAGAAAACCGCACTGTTGTATGCAGTTCCGTGACGTTTTTTTTTTTGTAACCATGCTTTTATAGGAAGAAAAAAAAACCCATAAGGAACGTGCACTGGTATTTATTTTCTGGCACAAATAAAATGACTCTGTTTTTGCATGATGAGCTTTTTAGAAAATATTTGTTCGATTGTTGTCCTCTCTTTGGTGTTGGGAGAGAAAAACTTGTGGACATGAAAAAAAAAAAAGACAGTTCAACATCTGGTGAATTCTGACCTCCCAGTTGAATTCAGATGCTGGGAGGTCAAAGGCATCCCTGACATTTTCTTGCCAGCCGTTCTGGAATTCTGGAATGTGTCTTTGGACTTTTCAATCTTGCCTTCAGCCCTTCGGTCCCTTGGTGGCCTCACCACTCAAGGGTGCAAAATGACCATTTGTGATCCCTTCTGTGTGTCGCAGAGGAAGGAGTTTCTGCATCCAGCACTCCGAGGTTAGACTTTAACGCAACCGCTTACTAAGCGTTGCCACCAGCAAATGAAAAGGTTGACACATTAACAAGACGTGTCAATGTTTGTAAGAGAGGTGGGCGGTGGACGGGATGAAAAAAGGGAGATGGGTAAGATTGGGCGGAATGGGGCTTTGGTCTCTTAAGATGAAAGAATGGATCCCACGATCAAATATGCAACCCATGAAGAGGTCTGTTGTTCTTCCCTGGACACGTGTTTTTTTTTTTAAAAAAAAAACAATGTTTTTCAAAGGTTCTAGCAACCTTTTAAGGCTGTGCTTCACAATCTTAGAAACTTTAAGAGGTTTAGACTTCAACTCCCTACAATTATCAACAGATCCAATGAGACCCCACCCCACCCCAAGAGGCAGCATGCTCTTAGCCTTCCTTACAAATCGAATGAATAAATAAAATAAGTTCCTTTTTGAAGGATCGAGTTTTTAAGGCTCTCCAAAAAGCGTATTAAGGTAGAGGTTACCATTTTCCTAAAAACGTCGCCACCAGGGGGCAGCCCCGAGCCATTGTCAGCTGGTCTCAGCTAGGCCAAGTCAAGAACTAGTCATCCTTGGGTGGGAGGCCACCAGGTGATGCCAAAGTCACATTGACCAGCCTGGGAAGTCGGTGGGGGCAAATAGCATCGTATTGTCAAGAAACTAAATTGGAGTTGACTAAGAGGTTGACTTTTAAGCTTTAACCCAATACAGAGGGAGATTTGCTCCCTGTGAAAGTGATTGACTTAATTCCTCAAATATGTCCTTGTGTCCAGGTCCTCCTAACCACGCTAAATCTGGTGTGGATCCACCCAGGTCACTACTCGGAGCTGCCCTTCCAACCCTGTCAAAGAGAACTTGTCAGATACAGAAGCCAGCATCAGTTTAGGGCCTGGGATTTCTCCCAGGGTGTCTTCTGAAAGTTTGAGAAGCTTCACTTCGGGTGGCTGAATTGTCCATGTGCATCTGTATGTCCAAAGTTGCTTTTCCAAACTGGACTTTCTTGGGGGTTTTTTCCTTGAAAACATTTCACTTCTCAGAAGTTTCTTTGATGGTGAGGAAGCTTCTTGGATGAGAAGCGGAACGTTTTAAAATAAATAAATAAAAATGAATCCAAAAAAATCCAGCTGCCCTTTGGAAAAGCACTTTTGGGACAACCACGACCTGGATGATGGAGAATCTCCATAGACCTCCGAAGGGTGAATGGAAGCAGGCTCAGCCTTGGCTTCTGATCATTAGAAGGGACAGGTCTCCTGGCCTCCTGGCCACTGCAAAGTCCAAGCAACCTGGGTCGAATCTGAGGCTGGTGTAGCCGAAAAGGTGGGCAGCCCCTGAGCTGCGGAGGAAGGAGGTGGTGGGTGGTTTAATCATCAATTCCCTTCGGCTTGGAAGCAGCTAGTAGGAAGCCACGTTGAGCTTGTCTTCTGTTCCGGGCTGACACACGGCGTCCATCCATGGAGAACAATTCCCACGCAGAAATCCCTGCTCTTTCGCCGCAGTTTGGCGTTCCAGATGCGGTGGTGGTGGTGATGTATTTCCTTTTGAACCTGGCAGTTGGCATCTGGGTACGGCAGCCTCTGTTTTTACGCCGACCCCTCTGAATTCACTCGGAGTGGCTACTCATCTGTGGAAGCTGTAGTTTCTCTGTGGAAGGCCCCTCTTTGAGATGTCCCTTCTTTCTTAAAAGTGCTGTTTTTAATCCTGGGGTAGCATCATTATTATAGGGTTAGATTGTGTTTCTTTTCAATTAGAGATAATTTGCAGCCTATTAAATAAAAAATAAAAGGGGGGGGAGAGGGAGGAAGAGTCAAAGGAACTACTTGGTAGTTTTGGGTAATCTAATTCACTGAAAAACATGACCTCAAACAGACAGTCCAGACTGAAATGATCCAGTAAACTAGAAAATCAAAATTAAGATAAAGGGCGATGAAAGAAAGAATAAAGGTAATAAATAAACATGGGGTGAGGTTTTATTGCAAAGTAGGGATTCAGCCAAGCTTTTGGAAAGCAGGATGCACATTCCCAGAGGGAGGCAGGGCTGGAAAAGAGGTGACGGGGAGACCGAAAAGACAGATTTAATAAATCTCATCCTGTTCCTGGCTCAGTTCTCTCTTTCCCTTTGCAGTCGTCATGCCGGGCAAGTAGGAACAGCGTGAGTGGTTACTTTCTGGCTGGAAGGGACATCGCCTGGTGGCCGGTGAGTAACACGACTGGGTGTAACTGATTCCTACTGGTCTCTTGCAAGGAATATGGGTATATATTTGTTGCTGCTTATATCTGTCATCTGTGTCTATCATAGCTGGCTGGGAAAGTCTGGGAATTGAAATCACTTATTTTAAAATGGGCAAGGTTAAGAAACACTCTTTTTTTTCTTCTTTCTTTCTCTTTCGTTCTTATCCTATCTATCTATCTATCTATCTATCTATCTATCTATCTATCTATCTATCTATCTATCTATCTATCTATCTATCTACTACCTACCTACCTACCTACCTACCTACCTACCTACCTCATAATCTAATATCTATCTATTTTACATGGCTGCTTAAGATGATTCTGGGCAGCTCACAGTAAAACCAATGATTCACATATTTTACAAAACCAATCCAGTTAATGATTAAAGCCAAGAATCACAGTTTTCTGTTTGTTTTATTGTTTTAATAGGTTAGTGGGTCAGCTGGTGATGCTCGGATGCCCAGGGTAGCTCGCTCCCTGAGCAAATAATAATAATTTAATGCAGGCCGCCGAGAGTCTCTTTGGACAGCGAAGTGGGCAGCACAGAAATTTAATAAATCAAAGAACCATCACCCAACAAGGAGTTTTGTTCTGTTGTTGTTTGGCAGAGTTGAACTCCTGAGGTTTTCCTTTGCAGATCGGTGCTTCGCTCTTCGCCAGCAGTGAAGGAGCCGGCCTCTTCATCGGGCTGGCCAGCAGCGGAGCTGCCGGTGGGGTGGCCGTGGCCGGCTTTGAGTGGAATGTAAGGGGCTCAACTCTGCTGGCCCGGAGCTGGGTTTAAGCAGCCGTCCCCCTTTGGAGTGTCCCCGGGGTGGGTGGGTGGGTTGGACCCACCCCTAGCAATAGAGAGGGTGGGCTGACCCCCTTCGGCTGATGGTCTCTGTCTGGGTTCTCGGCCCCTTTTAGGCCACCTACGTGCTGCTGGTCTTGTCGTGGCTCTTCCTTCCCGTCTACCTTTCAGCAGAGGTGAGTGCCAGCGGCTCTCTCTCGGCCCCCCCCTTCACTCCTGGTGCTGCATGTGAGGGTCTCCTTGTGGCTCGCTCCTTCCCCCTTGAGCCCAGTCTTGGCTTGCTGAGCCAAAGTTTGACAGAGAAGCCACCCTGGATGGGTGGACACGGCCCACTGCTTTGCAGATGCTGAGGGGCAGCTTCACAGGACACGGTAACTCCGCAACCAAACAAACCACGGGTCGATTTGGTAGTAGGTTGTCCATCCAGAGCTCTTCATCCTTTGGCTCCATCCTCCTCCTGCTTCTGGTTTCCCATCGTCCCCTCCAACCGGCCCCTTCTGTTTCCTTCAGGCTGCCCGGAGACTGACCCTTCCTCTCTTCCCCCAGATCGTCACCATGCCGGAGTATCTCCAGAGACGCTTTGGAGGGGAGCGAATTCGAATCTGCCTGTCCTTCTTGTCACTACTGCTCTCCATCTTCACCAAGATATCTGTGAGTGGTTACCCTAACCCTTCCCTCTGCATCTCTAGACCGAGCCCCTTTTTTTGAGCCTGGCTGGGGTGATGAGGATGGGCATCCTATAGGTCAACTGGAGTTAAAGCATGTCAAATTATAGATCGATCCTTCTTCCTTCCTTCCTTCCTTCCTTCCTTCCTTCCTTCTTCCCTCCCTCCCTCCCTCCCTCCCTCCCTCCCTTCCTCCCTCCCTTCCTCCCTCCCATCCATCCATCCATCCATCCATCCATCCATCCCTGCCTCCCTCTGGCACTGGACAGCAAGTAACCTGTCTGATCCTTAATTGATTTAATTAATTAATTTGTCTGGTCCTTAATTGGCTTCTTCAAGTGGCTTATGAACCCTTGGAAAGAAGGGATGAGCGCTCCTTTGAAGACCCCGCATTGCACTCAGGTCTTTGTCCAGCGGGGGGCGCTGTTGACCACTGCATTCCCACCAGCAGCCCCTGCTTCACCAATAGCTTCCTGCTTCCCAGCTTCTTAAGACCCAAATTCCTCTCCTCTCCCCCCAGCAACCCCAACCTTTCTGCAGTTGAGCCTCCACGTTTTAAGACTCCAAGTTCAAAGCATTTCCTGCCCCCCTGGGCCAAAGCGCCAAGATGCAAACACAACCTCATGGTTTCCTGGAGGCCTCCTTTAAAAAAAACGCCTGTCCTGCGCAGTTTATGGCGACTGTAATATGTTGGAAAGGATTTTGTTTCTTCTTTGGAAAGGCCGATGGCTGCTGGCTACAGTAGACCCTCCTATTCAGTAGCAGTCTATCTTTCTAGGTGGATTGTTTGGGAAAGAGAGAGAGAGAGAGAGAGGGATTGTTTTTGCACTTGTGGGTTTTCTGGAGACACCTGACTGGCCGCTGCTGGGAACCGGACTGTGAGGATGGGCAACTGGGAGGTTGAAAGCCCCAAAGGTTCTGGTGGGGCCGGTGTAGCCAAACCCTCAGACTCACCCAGAAAGACTCTTCCCACGGAAA